TTGACGCATCTCATTAAGATGAATCCAATGATATATGACTTGACTTTGTATGATTACTAGATAGACAACTATTTGATTTTTCACATTTTTATAAAAAATCAGATTAAACTGAACCAAACTGCCAGTTTTTCGGTTTAGTTCTTATGGATTTTAGCTCTAATCTGAACTGTCTATAATCTGGACTAAACCAATCCATTTGGAGTTTTAAGCCCATTAGATGTGTCTTAATAAGACAAATTAAATAGTGGTAATTTTGTATTTATAGTATTAATATTAACAAAGATATGAAAGTTTAAAAGTTTTAGATATTTTATTATTTATAAACTTGGACAATTTTTGGACAGGATATGGATGGAACATATCCAGGACAATGTCCTAGACATTAAAATTTTGGCAGGACATGTCCTATGTACAATACTATTATTACCATAAAAGATATATTGTGATATCTGAATGTAGAGCCTGACTCCACCCACTCACTAAATTATGTAATTTCTGACATGCCCCTAAGATGATTTTCTGTAATTTGGAATTTGAAGTAATATAAAAAAATATGAGAGATTTTAGGCTATTATAATTATAAATGTATTATATCTTGCAGAAAACTTAATTCACTTATCGCTTTTATTTTTAGACTATGATACGTCAAATGACCAAAAACAGGCAAAAAAAATGGTGTGAATTGCATAAACTATTCACAAATTTATATAAACTATTTACAAATAGTATAGGTTAATTCGCAAATAGCCAAAATAGCCAAAAATAGCCACTGCTTTTCACGCCATTTTTTTTGCCGATTTTTAGCATTTTGACTTATGATATATATAAAGCTTTCAAAATTATATAAAATAAAGGACATTGTAAATTAATTACATATTACAACTTGTAAGTGGATTTGAATAAAATTATTAATACAAAATTACATTTGTAAAAATTTTCAGGTATTTAGATAAGATAGGACTCTATTTACTATTAATAGAAATCTTCAGAAAAATTTTAAATTTACTAGTAATTTTACCAGTAATCCTATTGGTTAATTGATCTAAAAAGAAAAAAATTATAAAAATTTAGTGTAATATAGATGTAATTTATTTATATATAATAGGATTTTCAAAAATTCTTAATTATAAATTTTACCTTAAGTTTCTGATAATTTATCTTATAAGTAAGCGGTCCTGATAGCATTTTCTTTGAATTAACCTATAAAAGAAGAACTCACTCTAAAAGCAAAATCAAGATGTGGATTCTAAAGTTGTGCAGAATATTAATTTAAAGTTAAGTAAGAATCAGAAGGTAGCTAGAAAATGAACAAGACTTTGGACAGTATTAATAAATTAATTGTAACTAATGACAATTTAGAAGATTAGTTTTTGCAAGAAATAAGTAGTTTTAATGAATGGATTCATTTCTAACTTTTACCTTTTTTTTATATTTATTTTTTGTTGTTTTCCTTTTTTTCTTTATTTGGGTTTTAGCAAATTCATGGAATATATCTGATTATTGTATTTTGATAAACAGAATACTATTTAAAGTTTATATATAGGTGATTGATTTATATAATTGCTTATTAGAACTATTTGTATTATTTATTTTAAGTATAATAATAATAAAAAAAAAAGGTATAATTAATTCTTTATAAATACATCCTTTATAAATAAATTTATATATATCTTTTTAAATATACTTTTTAGTTTAAACTTAAATTTAAATGATCTTTAATTATTTATTTTCTATAAATGCATGCTTTTTTTAAATACATTATTACAAAAATTATATATATAATTCTAAAAGAATACATTTATAAGAAATTGATTATATAAATAAAAAAAAAATAAATAAAATATTAAAGTTATTTATTTTTATTAATTATGAGCTTTATATTTTACTTATACAGTCAAATTTCTATGTAACGATAAGGTTGTTTTAGGAAAAAAGTATTGGTATATTGAATTATCAGTACATAATTACTGTATATCATATTGTAAATTACGTTTATTATTAGATTAGCGGACAGTCAGACATTGATATCGATGCTTTTAATTGGAAACAATATCAATATATTGAATATATTACAGGTAATATAATGTGAAGCAAATACCACCCAATTAAAGGCTTAAAATAATTAAATTTTGGTAAAATAAATCACAAAAGAGTTCAAATTAAATCTTTTACTTGGACTAACTTTATAATGCTAGCTCAAATTAATACTAATATAGCTAAAATATCAGTATATCTTAATATATATTATTATAAAGGATTAAGAAAAAGTATTGGTATACGTTACATTGCGAAATTATATGCAATATCAATGCAACGCAATTTTTTTATTATACGTAAAATGAAACAATGAAAATTTATCAGTACAGGAAATTATCGATACACTGGGAATTGATACATAGAGGTTTGACTATATTAACAGTATATTTAATTTTAAATGGTAAATATTTTGGAATATTTAAATTAAAGATAGATTATGAATTAATGAAATTAAATAAAAAAGTTTTATTTTAAATTTAAAATATAAAAATTTTAAAAAGAATTGATTTTTTTTTAAATAAATAAGATTTAAATTTTAAATAAATAAGTTTGATTTTAAAACTTAAAAATTATTTTTATTTTATTTTAAGTATTTATTATTTTTAATTTTAGAAATAAGTATTAAAATTTTATTATTGGCCAACTAATAACAGAAGAACTGGCCAACTGGACCAAATAGAAAAAATATGTAATGTGTGAAATACTTATTATTTTTTTTTTATTCTGATTTTTTTATTAAAATCCTTTTTTTATATATATATTTTCTTTTAATATTCAGTTTTTACTATATATAGTTGATCTTGCTGAATTATCGAAATGAATATTAATTAAGAGGAAGATTCTCTTTTAAGAAAAATTATATTTTACACAGAATTTACTTTCATAATCCAAAAATTCGTCTGACAATTCATATGTGGAATCCTTTTTAAAATGACAAGTAGTTTAATAATTAATAATATTAATTTTTATTTGTATTTGATTATTGTATGTGTATTAATACTTTTTTGAAAAAATTAATAAATTATTAAATGTATTGCAGTAAAAAAAAAAGTATTAAAATTTTTTAAATAAATAAATTTTAAAAAAATTAATTATTTTTTTGTTAAATTTGAAATTTTATTTTTGATTATTAAGTTAATTTTTTGGATAAGTTTTATTAAATTTTACTTTTTATTATTTATTTATTTATTTCGTATAAATTTTTAAAATATATTTTATTTTGAATTTTTTAAATTATTTTTTGGTTTTTTTTTTTTGGTAAAAGTATTCAAATACCTTAAAATTAAAAAATAACTTATAAAAAGTCAGATTTTTAATAATAAATAAACTTACAATTAACTTAAAGTTTAAATGTAAAATACTATTTAAAACTGTTTTTTTTTGTTGCAAATATCTTTAATAAAATTTTAACTTTTTAACCAAATAATTATGGTAAAATAAATGTCAAAAATCAACTTTTTGATTATAAAATAGTTTATATTTCAAAAATCAGAAAGATTGAATTAGTAATTATTAAGAAATCTGCTTTTATAAATCACAAAATTTAAGACAATTATAATAAATCAAAAATTGCTTATTTTAAAGGTATTTTTCAAGAATTAACTACATACTCCTGTTTTTACTAACTAATAGTCCAAATTTAATAAAACTTATCCATTGAGTTCATTTTAATGAGAGAAATCTAATGATAATAATTTTATTTTTCTTAACTTTAATATTTATTAAGATATAATACAGAGTGATTTTTTATCTGATATAAATAGGATTCTATTAATATTCTTTAGTGAATCCTTTATAAATATTCCTAATCTAATTAGATTTATTAGATTTTTAAGAAGTAAAAGCTTGGAATAGAGAATGAAAAGTAAAAGGGTTGGAGTGAAGTTAATTATCTTTAAGTCCAGAAACTTACTTTCGATTTAGTAGAAACAAAATATTGTATTTTATTTATTTTGAGGATACTTATCAATAAAGTATGAAGAAATCATCAGAATTTTGTTCATTAGAGAAATTATGAAAGAGTTGATTCTTTGATATTGCAACGTAATTTTTATATCATATGATTATCATATATTCCTATAATTCATAAATGTTATCGTGAAAAAAATAATAGTATATGATTAAGGAATACTATAGTAGTACTAAGTTAAATGATAATAATATTCTTAGAAAGAAATCAAGAATTTTCCAAGGAAAATTGAAATACATAAATATTTTTTTTTTTAACAATATAATAGGAATACTATACTAGACGGTGTTATACGATAAAAGTCGGAATCTAGTAAATTGGATAACATATTTTATATTTCATGATTCATTTATAGATAATGATAATGTAACAGATATTTAAGGTTTATTTAATTTTTGCTTAAAAAGTCTTAAATGATTCTTTTAAGGAACGGTCGATAACAATTTAATTATAAATCACGTGTATATTTCAGGTGCAATATTTGGAAGCTGCATGATAATCTACAAGAAAATTCTAGTAAATTGCTTCACCGCCCTTCCCGCAGAATAATAAAAGGCGGCGATGCAATGTGACTTGTCGGAACTCGTTATATATAGTAGTAAATAATCACCATGAATACCTTTATTTGAAGCATCATATCTTTAACATACACATGTCACAAATTATAAACGTTACACAGATCATATCCAATATAAAAAAATCGAAGTAATCCTGATTGTTGACTGTGTTACTTGACATTCCGATCTGAAAAATACTGACCGTTATAACGATTATAGTGCTTCTATTGTGAATTTTTTTATCGGTATTACCAAAGAAATAAGAATACCGTTTATTTATAGCCGCGATGTTTATTTATGGGTTATTGTAAAAATTTCAATCGATTTCGTCATCTTATCGGACATGAAACAGGTTTTTTATGCAAAATACATAGTAGTCACTAGGTCAACATCGGTCCGAGATTTTGAGATTTTAAGATGACGTTTTAACTTTTGATTGACCGTATTACATATATTTATATAAATAATTCCTTGTGATTAAATAGCAGCCTCTTTCGTAAGCTGGGTTGGTACCTAAGTTCCAAAAAAAATATAAAAACTGCCAAAAAAGCCAAGACGCAATCCAAACCACTTGTAGAGATCAACTATTCAGCGAAAATATAAAAGCTAATAAATTTACTGATTCAACTTTCCGTAATTGTAAGCAGCCTAATCTTTACCTATTAGTAGTAATGTTGCTATTAGTTCTGCTAGTACAAATCATTTTGCTCTTTTCGAAATTTTTAACATCTTAATGAGAATGTTTTTTTTTTCAAAGTCCTATTAATAACCAGAATTTAGCAAAGAGTAGGACGCCATACTAAAACATAACGGCAATTATGATGGCGACCTCACATACTTTTCCACCTGAAGAAAGTTTACCCCATCCACCCCCAAATTTTCAACCACAACAAATAAATACAAAACAAGTAATTTATAATAAGTCGGGCACAAAGTGTATGAATATCGTAAAAGATCCGTCTGGAATGCCTTTATCTCCGACTTCACCGTCTACGAGAGACCAAAATGATAGTTCACCCTCTCATAATCCTCAAAATAATAACGTGCCAACTAAAAAGAAAAAGAAAAAGAAGGGTAAAAGAAAATCTACTGTTGACCATGTAGAGGAAGCTGATATTCAAGTTAATGGAACACATAATAATCATATAAAGACAAATTATAACAGTGAAAATGAAGAGGAAGCATTGGACGTGGATTTAGAAGACGAAGATGAATTCTTTTCTGATGATGACGGATATGATCCGGAAGCACCTGAAATACCCTTTCCACGAAAGGATTCTATCGCAAATCATGATGGTGATAATAATCATGCTCCTACTACTCCTTCAAAGAAAAAAAAGAAGAAAAAGAAAAATAAGAATGGTCTTAGTATGAATCAAATTTCAGATATCCATCATAACCATCCCCACCATAACCATAATCACAAATCTCGTAAAGATGGTATCTGGAATACCAATAATAACGAAGAACGACAGCGAATAAGGGAATTCTGGTTACAATTGGGTGAAGAGGAAAGAAGAAGTTTAGTAAAAGTTGAGAAAGAAGCTGTGCTAAAAAAAATGAAAGAACAGCAAAAGCATTCATGCTCTTGTTCTGTATGTGGCAAAAAGAGGTTAGTAGCCTTGAGTATTATTTTATTTCTCTTATTCCTCTAGTATTATTAGTACCAATCATTACCTCTCGATTTAATAATTGCTTATTAAAAAGCAGTCTACGATAATATAATTTATTTTAAATTCATTAATAAAAATAAATATATATGGTATCTATATAAGATACTATAATACTACTGTATATAACATTTATACATAAAAATTTGGAAATATGATATAGGACCGCTATTGAAGCAGAGTTAGAAACCCTCTATGATGCTTACTATGAAGAACTTGAATCTTATGCGAATCATCAGCAGCAATTTGGCTCTTCAAATATTGAATATCGAAACGATGCAGAGTTTGATGACGATGATGATGATGAAGAATACGAAGATGATGAGGACGAAGACGATGAAGATTATGAAGGCAGTGAACATGATAGTGATACGCGGAAAGAATTCTTCAACAACTTTGGTAATAGTTTAACTGTGAAAGGTGCGTTATGACCACCTAGCAGGGTTAAAGTTCTTTTAGGAGAAATGCCTTCTTGATGGTCGATAATTTCAAGTTATTAATGATCAATTTCAAATACTAATGTGTATATACTGACTCAGGAGGCATTTTGACCGTAGCTGACGATCTATTAAAAAATGACGGCAAGAAGTTTCTCGAAATGATGGAACGACTTGCTGAACGAAGGATGCAACGAGAAGAAGATGAGTCAGCAATGGATCGTGGTGAATATTATGATGAAGATGAGGATGAAGATGAGGATGAATATGAAGAGGATGGGGAAGAAGTAAAGAACTATTTTTTTTATAGTTACGAAAATTTTTACTTGCAAATGAAGTATATTAATTAATTTTTGTTTATAGGATAACCAAACAGAAGAACAACGTATGGAAGAAGGTCGACGAATGTTTCAGATATTCGCTGCAAGAATGTTTGAACAGCGAGTGTTAAATGCATATCGAGAAAAGGTTTGTATAAATCAAATTTTTTTTTTTTTTATTTAAAATTAGAAAAAAGTTTTTTTCCTAAATCGGAAGTTATTTGTATAGGTTGCTCAAGAACGACAACAAAAGTTATTAGAAGAGTTAGAGGAAGAAAATCGGCTGAAAGAGGAGCGTGAACTTAAAAAATTAAAAGAGAAAGAAAGAAAGAAGGCTAAAAATAGGTTGGATTTTTTTTTTTTAAAAAAAAAAATATGGATAGTTGATTCATGGAAGAATTCACCCAGTTAATATTTTGTGATTTTACATGTTAGGGCCTTGAAACAACAAAAAGAGGAAGAACGTGCAAGAAGAGAGGCAGAAAGGCTAGCTGAAGAAAAAGCTCAACGAGCAGAGCGTGAAAAAAAATTAGAGGAAGAACGTAAAAGACGTGAGGAAGAACGTCTAAAAAAGGAGGCAGAAAGGAGGCAAAGGGAAGAAGAACGACAAAGGAAAGAAGAAGAAAAAAGGCGAAAAGCAAGAGAAGAGAGAGAGCGAGAGGAACGTAGGAAAAAAGAGCAGGAAGCAAAAGAACGTAAAGAGAAAGAAAAAGAGGAGAGAGAACGTAAAGAAAGAGAAGAAAAGGCTCGAAAAGAAAAGGAAGAACGTCGACAGCGTGAAGAACGAGAGCGTAAACAACGTGAATTAAAGGAGAAGGAACGTAAAGAAAAAGAAGAACAAGAGCGTAAAGAACGCGAAAAGAAAGAACGTGAAGCGAAAGAACGAGAACGAAAAGAAAAGGAGGATCAGGAACGTAAAGATCGCGAGGAAAAAGAACGAAAAGAGAGGGAAGAGAAACAAAAAGCTGTCACACTGAGGCAGCAACAACATCATGAACGAAAACGAACTATTACACCAATCGGTCAACCTTCTGCTCAACCACCACCCCCACCGTCAATAAGTACACCGGTAATACAGAATAAACCTGTCGTATCAATGCCTAATGGAATGAATTGGATTAATTATTCATCACATGAACAACACCAACCTCTTCCGCAGCATTCTATAAATCCACAACATGTTATAAATTCTCATTTACCACCCCCTCCCAATCACCCTAACCATCCACCGCCACATCCATTGTTTAACCCTGGTGGACCACAACCACAATTTGGAGGACAGCCTGTTGGAATAATGAATGGTCCTGCGGGAATGACAAATGAAGTTGCTAATGAAGTTTTTACGAACACTAAAAAAGCAATAAATCCACCACCACAAGGAACGAACACTTTACAGGGAATAAATCCTACATCTTCCTTATTTGCAACTGGATTAGGTCCGATTGGTATGGGTGTTCATCCACACCATGGAGGTCCTCCAGTACCCATACATGCTCATCAAGTAATGAGACAACAAATGCCACCTCCTAGAGGTTTTAATCCAATTGCTCCAACACCACATTTACCTGGTCCCTCTGGAGTTCCACCATCTGTAGCATCTACAAATTTATCATTACTTAATGAAGCTGCTGTAATGAGTGGAAATGGAAATATTGGTGCAGGAGTAACAGGAAATCCGCAAAATGGTGCATTTGGTGGGTTACCTATATGTGGACAAGGACCATTAGGTCCACAGACATTTAATTTAGGGACACAAGTACCCGCATCGTCTCATATAGGACCTAGTGTTGTTGTTCCAAATACTCCGTTAGCTCCTATTGGACATCGTCGTATGTCCCAACATCCAGAGGATTCCCATGTAAAAGCTGTACAAAGACCACAACCGATACAGCGTCCAAGAAGAAATTCTGGTACAGGACAGTCACTGGAAATACGTACAAGGTCGCCACCACCAGGTTTTGGTAATATGGTTGGCTCTGGTGCTTTGCTTGGTGATGATAAAACTAATTCAATGACAAACAGGAGACAGAGTTTAGCTGCTGGTGAAAGTTCATATTTCTCTAATTCATTATTTTCTACAGCAATGCCTGGAGGTTAGGGAATAATTTTAAATTATTTATTTCTTTTTATTTTTTGGTCCTTGAGAAGAGTATTATTATAGTTATTTAAAGAATTTGTAAATAAATAAATAAATATGTTAAAACAAATTTTGTAGAGTCAAATCCACCTCAACCATCACCATCACAGAACCAACAACAGCAACAACACGGAACAAATCGGGTGTCACATCGACCTGTTGTAGGTGATAATGAATGGCCTCCAATACGCGGAAGACAAAATGTGACTGATAATCTCCTAGGAGAGTCTGTATCTATTGGTAGTAATAATAATGGTAATAATAATATAGGAACAAACGACATTTGGGCATCAAATTTTGCTGGTGGACAGTCATTGTGGTATTCAGAAGGTAATAATAATCCTACAAATCGTAGAGTGATGGGTTCAAGAGACTTTGGCATACCATAATAACAAAAAACGAAAGAAACTTAAAATATAATTAGTGCAAATTTTCTATTATTTCCTGTTTTCCTTATTACCTTGTAACCATAAATACTATATATATACACATATTACTATTATATTTTTAGTCCTCGATTTGGCGTAAAATTAAGAACGTGTTTATCTATATATACATATATATTGCAAAAAGAAAAAAAAGGACGAGTGATGATGTATTAATGATGTATTAAAAAAAAAACAAATTCTATTACTATAATTTTACTATTACAATTAGCATTTTGGAAGAATCATTTACCATTTGAAAAAAAAAAAAGAAAAATATTTTATTTTCATCGTGTAATAATAAACCTGTTTAATTACTGAAAAATCAAAAAGTAAATAATAGACATATTATTTATTATTATATAATATATTTACACGCGCTTTTATATACTCTTCGTATAAACACGCAAAAGATTAACCATCATGTACATTAGTTTTCTAGAACAAATATTACATACATTAATTACATGTTGATTTATACAAAAATGAATATATAAAAGAACAAAGAAAATGAACTATTTAATTTATTTGTTTAAATACTTCAAAAAAAAGGGGGGGGGGGTATTCAAATAAGAAAAGATCAAATATGCTCAATACAATAAAGTCTTGAAGCGTGAATTATCCGACAATCTACCAATTCTGTTTCAGCTATTGCGATAATATCAGGAGTTACCAAGGGACAATTTGCGACATCAAGATGTTTAAGATTACCGGCCAAATATTTACAAATTGATTTTATGCAATTATCGTTAACATTACGACAATATCTAAGAAACAATTTACTTAACTTACGGCAATCTCTCACCAACTCTATTACAGCTTGTTCACTAACTCCCCATTCACGCAAATCGAGCATTGTTATAGAATGACCAATATTAGACCTAATATTTCCCATTAATTCATCTAGTAAAAAATCCTCATTATTTATATCAACCCCACCAAGAACTAAAACTTGCATTCCTTTACATGATTTAATCAGATCCATGATGGCTTTAATTTCTACACGAATTACATCTAATCTGAATTCAATAATATTTGGACAATGAGTCGCTAGAGCTTTGATACCTTGTTCAACAGAATCAGCAGCACCACAAGGTAACATGATCAATTTCTTGAGATTTTGTTTACAATGAGTAGCGAGTGAAATAATTGCTTCTTCTGATACTTTAGTCTCTGAGAGATTAATTTCAGTTAACATATTACCAAATTCCACTAAATTAAAAGTCTTATCTTCAACACTATAACAATCACTAAGATCCAAAGATTTTAATCTTTTAAATATAAGACCATCCAATGCATGATCAATATGAAGACCATTAATTCGAAGATCAGTAATTTTAGAGATAACAGAAGGTGATAATCCTGCTAATAATTGTTTTGGAGAAGCAGTAATCCTAATACAAAGTTCATCAAGATAATCTTTTTGTGTTTCTACAAGATTTGATAAAAGTGCTGGATTACAATTACGTACAGAAAATTTAAAAACGCGAAGTCTTTTACAATTTTTAGTGATAAATCTCAAGTCATCATCAGTATTTTCATATTGTAAAAGATCTAAATGAGCAATATTAGGAAATTTTTGAATAATTGGAGAAAAGATATCAGACGTAGTTTGCAGACAAGTTTCTAAAGAATCAATAGAGATACAACGATCATTAAATGCCTTTGATAAAGCCAAAAAAGCTTCTTGAATGATACGAGGTTTATCAGCATTTGTAGATGTAGATGTAATCATAGCTTCAAGAAATCGATACATTGTAGGTACACTAATATGACGTGTAAAAGAAATATAGTCAAGTGATGCCCTAGATTGAATTAATATAAAATTTTCTCCTAAAGAGGGGAATTCCAAAGAAAAATCATTTTCCAAACAACTTAAATATGTTCTAATTAATAAAGCTCCTTTTGGGTTAATTTCTCTTTTGACAAGTTCACTTTCTTCCTCTTCAATAAGAAAATATTTCCAAGGATTTTTGTAAAGAAGTGTAGCAGAAAGTCGCGCAAATAAACGATTAGTACGTATACAGTTGTTAAGAGCTTTCGAGTCGTGAACCAAATGTGAAATTATTTCGTGAATACACTCAGTAGGAAGAGCTTTTTCAAGCGATTGAGTTGACATTGTTATAAAGTATTTCTTAAATAAAAAGACACGGAAGGACGCAAGTCTCAGTTATAACTCTAAACCTCTTTTTTTTTTCTTTTTTTTTTTATGATTTGAAAAAAAAAAAATACTATTTACAAGAAGGGTTATTTTTTTTCCCTCTTTTGAAGTTGATCAAAAAAAATAAATAAGGATATATTTTTACAGTTTATTATATTATAGAACAACAATTTTATCATGCACGACAGCACGAGATCCTTAATGACGTGACTAACGTTACATTTATAATAATTTTAGTGTTACAAAAAAAAAGGTACAATCTTATCTTATAAATTCGAATGGAAATTAAAAATAATTAAATAGTTTTTAATACAGGAATTAAATCATATTCGCATGATTCATCTTTTTCTTCAATAAATTGATCCTTAATTTTTTCTAGAATTTTTTCAGCTTTATAATCAGGATTTATACCAGATAATTTCATTTTAATAAAAACTTTTCTTATAGAATTAAAATCATTAATTCTCATAAATGCTTCAATAATTAAAGTGAAATCATTTGAATAAATTTTTGATAATCCAAATTCCGTATTTAAATATGGAGAAAGTAATTTCCAAGCCAATTGAGGATAATCATTTTTAGCCAAAGGATGAATAACAGAAATTACAAAATCCCTTTGAATAGGTTGAATTCCTTCATTTTCCATTATATAAAGTAATTCAATAACTTCATCTAATTTATCATTTTCACAAAGGAATTTAACATAATTTATATAAGTTATCTTATTTGGTTTAAAATCTATAATTTTTAATCTAAACATTTCTTTCATTTCTTTCCATAAAGATTGAGCTCCTTGAAAATCCTTTTTTGAAATATAATAATTTAATAATATATAAAAATGATTTTTTGTAATAAATTTTAATCCTAAATCTTTAATTTCTTTAATATAATAATCAGATTTATTTGTACCCATAGTTTCTTTAATAAGTGTTGTTAAACAAGACATTGAAGGTATAATACCATTATTACGCATATCTTCATAAATTTTTTTTGATAATTCAATATCATTTTTTATAAAACAAAATATGAATTGTTTATAAACTAATTCATTTGAAATTTCTAATTTTTTAAAATCTTGATATAATTCTTTTAATTTAATAAAATTTTTATTTTTTTTTGCTAAATTAATATTTAATAATAATTTTTTTATATCATTAATTTTAAATATTTCATTAATTGGATTATTTGATTTTTTAATTATAATATTTGATGTTAATAATATTGAATTTTTAATTATATTATCATAAAAATATTCAGGTTTATTCTTATTATTTGTCTTTAATTTTTCTCGAAATGCTTCTGTTAATCTAAGATAAAGTTCCTTCTCTTCTTTAGTTTGATCAAATTTTATATTATTGGTGGAAAATTTTGATGAAAGAAATTTTTCTTTCAATTTAAATCGAACGAATAAAAAATCAATCGTTCGAGGAAAAAGAAATTTTAAAGATTTTTTTGCGGTAGTTATTGTCATTTTTTCTTTAAAAAGAAAAAGAAAAAAGAAAAAGGGGATAAAAGAAAATAAAAAAAAAATATTTCTTTTTTTAGTTTAAAAAAAAAAAGTCAGCTGATGTTTGGATCAACAGTTGTATGATACATCGACAGTTACATTATGACATCCATCTATCAACATAAAATCATTATATTGTATATTCTACCAAATCTATTATAATTAGCCATATTTGATTATTCCAATATAATATTCTCTGAAATTGTTTTTAGTACAGCGGGCAGGTTAAAACCGAACTGCTTAACTCATAAACCCATATACTGTATATATAAACTTTCATGATCTTCATACAATATTTATATATATAATGTATATGCTAATTTAAGTAAAAGTAATCATCGCTTTTTAAAAATCTTTGGAGAATAGAGTTAAAGCGGAATCAGGTGAAGAATCGCAAATCATTGTCATGTTTATCGAAAAAGATTATTAAATAAATATAAATTATATTACTTACCTATAAATCCAGCTTACACCAATGATTTTTAAAATCGAACTTTCCGAACATTCGAGTTACTTGATTATTCATCCAATTTTTCCTATATCATAATAAAGGATATATTTATTACTCATAGTTGTATTTATTTTTTTTTTTTTCGAATTAAAAATAAAATAAAATAAATAATAAAATAATAATAAATAATTAAAATTATACATGTGATAAATGGTGTTTCGGTATCTAAGTTTAGCTTAATGCTTTACAGTATATCATGATGCAAGGTTGGCATGTTTTATTGAAATTTTTTAATAATTTACGCGTAATTAAAGTTCCTATGATGATTTAATGTACATTAAAATGAACTCTAATAAAATTTGAGAAAGACTTTTATTAAAACATATTACAATTTTCATATAACAATCATTAAGTGATTAAGCTTTTTTTCACTAAAGGTAAATTCTAATACTATATATATAGCAAAACATTTAAAACATTTACAATATTTACAAACTTACTTTTGTAACTTACTTTTGTGATTAGTTAAATAAATCTTCGTTAATTTTCTTTAAAATTTAGCTGTTCTTCGCCAGGACTTAGGTTATCAATACCATCCTGCGCACCGTGTTGAGGTGACAGCTAAATCGCTCAGGTACACGTACAGGAGGAGATTTCTTCCTGCACGCGGGTTATAAGGTTTTCCTTCCTAATTTTTTTTAATAAATTTTTTTTTGTTGCCATGGGTTGTCCACCAGACCAATCCATCCTGTTGGTTGGTTTAAAAAAAATTTTTGCTTATTTTGTTTTTTTGATTGTTTTTTCTTAAAAAAAAAAAAAAGGAATTAAGCCTTAGGACTCTTTTGAGGAACTTGTACGTCATCATCATCACGTTTCCTTTTCTTTTCCTCGGCCCTTTTCTCTGTTAGAGTTACAGCCTTCTGCATATAGTCGATGACGCTCTCCTTTATGTGCGCTCTCATATTTTCTGTTACCATATAAGCAGCTGCACCAACCCATTTATCACGACGTAGTTCTTTCTTTTGAATTGACTTGCCAATCTATAAATTATTATCATACGAATACAATTAATAAAATATTATGTTAAGATTTATCGTATTTTGCGGTTAGTAAGCACTCCCCGAAAATAAGCACCATAGCCAGAATTATGGCGATTTTGGCCAGAATTGTGAGGATATTGGCCGGCATTAAGTGCAAAAAAGGGTGCTTATATACCACAAAATACGGTAATATATATTTTCTTCATTTACTTACTTCTCGACTAAACCCTTTGAAATCTACTTCATTGAAATGACTCTTGAATCTACTACAATAATTAATCACTAACTTATAAATCTAGAATTGATCAAAGAAGTAAAAATTAGTCATACATACATATACATATATATATATAAAACATAAAATATTAATATTAAATAAATGATTAATTACCGCCATTTTAAATTCTTTTTCGTTCATTGGAGTGTTCAATGGTACTCCATGTGCAGCTTCAAGCGCTGCCTTCTCCTCAGCCTCAGCCTTCTCTCTTGCAGCTCGCTCTCTCTGTTTTTCTGCTTCACGTGCCATTGCCTCGGCACGTTCAATTATAGCCTGCAGAGCAGCTTGGCTAAATCCATCGTAACTCTTGACATCATCCTTCACAACCGGTCGCTCCCAGGAAGCTTGTAATGTGTACTTATTGTAGTAGTAAACTTTTCCATATTCATCTTTAGTTTCATACCAATTGGGCGCAAGTGGCTCCAATTGTTCTTGTGGCGGTTGCTGTGACTGATCTTTTTGTTCTTCTGTAGATGTAGTCTTTGTGGCCATAGAATGATTCCTTGGTTTTACAAAGCGTCTATTATTAATACCGCTTAATCGTGAACGAGAATTGCTAACGTAATTCATATTAAAAGTCGGACGAGGGGCGTACGTGCAACCATATGGATTATCAGGTCTCATTTTCACAATACCGTCATAATAATCTGGAGAGGGAACTTTACAGCCTAATGTTTTGCACCAATATTCAAATTGAGATATAGATTGGAATATTGCATTGCTATCCATGTAACGATTGTAAAAGTCATGACTTGACTCGTATCGATTGGGATTGAGGTCTTGAGGCGTTCTGCCTTTATCGCTTGAATTATTTGCAAGTCCTGAAATATTATTTGTATAATTTGTGTGACCCAAATTGTTACGTTCAATTGGCTTTCCTTTGAGATCATCTTTATTTTGATTGAAACTTTCTCTATCTCTATTTGTTTTTACAGAAGGTGTTTCAATCTGAACCTCATCATCATCAGCCAGATCCTAATTTTTTTGAAAAAAAAAAAAAAAAAAATTTCATTCATATTAAATTATTATCAAATCAAAGCTATTTAGTTAACGAAAAATACTTACCAAGGTATGATTAACATCTTGTTTTTGTAATTCATTCAATTCAGGGCCACATGAAGGAAGCTTATCCCATTTGTCAATTAAATCTCTTGCTTTTGCACCAATGCGATCATTACGACTTTCAAATTTTGAAACCCATTCTTTAAGATGTGAAGTTTCAACACGTCTATCTCTATACTTGAAAGGTATCTTATCCGCAATGTTTAATGTCTATAAATGTAGAGGATAAATAATGAAAGAAGTCGATAATTTGGATAAAAAATAGGACATTGACGAACAGGTGAATGATCAAAGAATAATAATTTACCTTGAAAACAATTTCATCGTCATTTCTGAATTCGTAAAGGTAGGATTTAAGCATAATTCCTCCGAAAAGTTTCATAAACATCCTTAGAATAGCGACATCTTCTGTTAACTTTTTAAATGAAATCAAAAAAATGAAAGTCAAAATATATATAATTGAATAAAATTAAATAAAATAAATAAATAAATAAATAAAAACAATTCGTGAAAACGCTTACTTTCAGCCTATATAATATCGGTCGCACCATGCTTGGTTGTTCAAGAGATTTGTACATCAAATTAATAAATTGTTTGACCTCATCAATGCTTCGAATGGGTTCTGTTAATTCAGCTTCAATTTCGGCCTCGTCTTTGATATTAAGATTAGTTTCTTTAGTACCACCAATGACACCACGACAATTTGATTCACCGCAATGACATTTCTGAGCTTGAGAACTAGTAATATCCAATGAGAATATATTTACATTAGTTGACAAGAAAAGATATACATGTGCGACAAAAATATGACTTACCCATATCGGTCAGCATTATAATCAAAGGTTAACTCCTCATTTTCTCTGACGTTCCGTAATGCGAAAATACCTATACGGTATCGATCACCAATCATCCATTTTTGAATGTAGCAGTTAGGATTGCACGAGTGATTCATAAATCTGGCTATACATCCGAACTTTGTTGCGTCGATTATCTAAGAAAGAAATATAAAATGAGACACAATAAATCGATGATGATGACTTGATATACATGTACATACTTCACCAGCCTGTAAGGACATAAAGTAGAAATGTTTCAGTCCTTGCTTGTTATAAGTTATCATGCGCTTAAAGAACGCACTATTCTTAATCACTTCACCAACGTATTCCATAATAAACTGATTACTAAATAAAAACGTAACAAAATAAATCAGAATAAGTTAGAACAATTGCAATAAAATATGAATCAAAAGTAATTGATATGATTAAAGAAGCTTACGGTCGTAATGGTTCCATTGCTCTTAGACCGTAGCCTTTGAGTGCAAAATGGATCACATCGACTTTTGCATTTTCAGCTCTTTGAAATCTATGTGAATGAGAAATATTACATGAAATGAGGAATAAAATTGAACAAAACAAAACTTATACGGACGAACGAAAAAAAAAAAAAATCACAAAAGAAGGAGAAGTTATAAATTAAAATGAGGAAAGGACGAACAAAATATAAAAACATTTCGTCTATCCATTCATTCCTTAAACGGACTATCCGTCAGGAAAAGTTGTAGCTTAAGATTTTAACATTTAAAAATTAATCTTTTTGTTGAATAAGCACAAATTCCTTTAGACCCAATTTTGATGAATAAATATCATAACGACAAGTTCAAATGTAACTTATTTATAAGAATATCATACCTTCTATTTTGACAAAATTTGCCAGTTGCACAATCCCCATCTCGACATTCCATGAAGAGTTCACGGTTGACGCAACCTGCAAATTCTCCACAAGCTTGACTTGCAGCATCTTTACCTAAATACATACATGAGAATTAAAAAGAATTAAAAGAATTAAAAGATGAATCAGTATACATAAATGTCACATGAGATAAAAGAATAATTATAATCAATTCATCTTATAAAATAGATATCTCTATCACCATTTTCCCTGAATAGAAATATAAACTTTACCTTGTTCATACTTGCAACAACATCTATAATCCGTATCCTGTTTTCCAACAAGACCAACATTTCCTTTGTAAATGTTTTCTTTAATTTCTTCAAATAGTCTTTTTGCTTTATCGTCGCAAGATGGGTAGTCATTATATAATTTGACCATTTTGTTATATTAAGGAGAGAGGATAAAAAAATATGTAAAGTATGTAAAGTATTATCTATAAAGTAAAAAAGGAACTTTCACCAAAGTAAAAAAAGACAAGAAAATTTTTCAAAGGAATCTATAGAATATAAAGCAAAAAGTTCAAAGGAAAAGGGAAGATAAGTTTTTTTTAAAGGAAAAAAAAAAAAAAAAAAAAAAAAAAAANAGTTTATCAACAAATGCTTATGCATAATATTAAACCTAATGTTTACACTTATACCTGTCTCTTATACACATCTAGATGTGTATAAGAGACAGCGTGAGGAGAATCGGAAAGAATAAAAAAAGCAAATTATTGGAGGTATACTTAAACACCCCTGGTGACATAAGAACACAAAAATTGGAATAGTATAAATCTTGCTAAAGTTAGCAGGGAATTCGGCCGAAAAAATGGATCGGAAAAATGGATCAGCTAAATGTCAACAGTAAATATTCACCGGGTTAAACAAATTCTGTAGTTTAACAACACGATAATTGATTCCGAAATGGGAAAAGATTTAAAAAAAAACGCTTTATAATACAAATTTCTAAAAATATAAACCATGTGCTATTCTGTTTCTAGTCTTTACACAATAAAGAATTCTTATTAATAGTAAAAAAATGGAAAAAAAAAAAAATACAAAATTGGAAATAAAAGAATGAAATTTACCAAAGAGAAAATAGTGGAAAAACAAGATAACCGCTATAGAAATTCTTTGGATTTTCTTCTGTGATAAAAGGAAAAAAAAAAAATTTTCCTTCGTATAGATAATTATGGCGTCCGAATTGCATTTGACACTGCCTCATGATTATCACTTTAGCATTGATCACATAAATTATCACCCGAAATTTCCTAAAACGGAACTCATTGACATCAACTCAAAAAAAAAACTCCGAAAATTGGGAAGTGATTGACAAGAAATGACGCCTGAGGCGTAACCTCCATTATTCATTTTTAATTACATGCAGAAATATGATGTAAAATATTTAAAATACGATTGATTTTTTCTCATTAATTGATATAAGAAAATAAATGTTACACACGAATTGTCATTAATAATTTCCATATTTTTTTGTTAAAATTCGAATTAATAATCTTTTTTTATGAATTTATAAATTTGCCTATTTTATAAATTGAAAATGTTCCAATCAAAATTTATTTTAAGGCTAGAAATGTTCCAATCAAAATTCAAAACTGAGGGATAAATTCAAATATGTAAAATTTACACGTGCACGTATTGGACAGTGTTTGGACAAAGGTAAGACAAGTCACTGGAGTAAGCATAACAATTGATCACCAGATTCCAGATTTAAGAAAAATTTTTTTTTTTTTTTTTTTTTNTTTATAATACAAATTTCTAAAAATATAAACCATGTGCTATTCTGTTTCTAGTCTTTACACAATAAAGAATTCTTATTAATGGACCAATAAAAGCAACGATTTCTACGAAAGTGTTGTTTCAATCTGTAATGAAAAAATGTTGTTGGAAAATTCTTAAACGTTCATTAATAATATGTGATTCACCATGTAATAATAAGTTTGGACTTTGTAGAAATGAAATTATAGTTGGTAAAAGAACATACAATAATGGTATTATTTATGAAAATTTTATTACAACTAATAGAGATGAAATTAAAAGTTTGGTAGTAACAAATAACAAAACACGAGCAATGGTTTCGATAATTAACTTACAAGAAGAATTTTATGAATATAGTAACGGTTGCAAACCCCATAATATTAATGAATTATGGAATTATTACATGGAACAAAAACGTAACTTTTTAAATAATATACCAATATATCTTCATTTAACATTATTGAAAACTTTATATGAAAAGAGAGAAATAGAAAAAGTATTAACCATAATAAAATATTTAAGGGGAAGAGAAAATTTGGTCAAATGGTTTAATAATAATTTAATGATATTAGAATATATAGTTAAATTAAATATAGAAGAGATAATTAAAAATTTTAATTTTTTAAATACAAAAGGAAATTTACCAATTCCTACGATCGTCGATTTAATAAAATCTTTAGTTAAGGAGAAAGAAATTATCACGGCTGAAGAATTATTTGGAAAATTGGGAAAAGAATATTATGATGTTGAGATATATAATAGTATGATGGATGGATATATTAAATGTGTTAGAGAAAATAAATTGGAAAAATCATTATATATATTAGAAATGATGCAAAGAAATAGAATTAAACCAAATATAAAAACTTATAATATTTTATTAAATTTATTTAGTAAAGTAAAAGCTCAATCTGAAGCAGAAAGATTATTTGGAGATATAATTGAAAATGGAATTGAACCTGATGAAAGAGGTTATCAAGGAGTAATCTTATCTTGTGCAAAAAATAATGATATTGAAAAATGTTTTCATTATTTTGATCGTATGATCGATAAAGGAATAAGTCCAACCATTTATCATTATTCTACTTTAATGTCAGCATGCGTTAAATCTGGATACCCGGAAATTGCAATCGATTTATATACGGAAATGGTTTATACTACAAATATTAGACCTAATGGTGTAATTTTAACAACTTTAATGTGCGCTTGGACTCGACTTAGAAGAAAAAGATCCTATAAAAAAAAAGATTTAGATCAAATATTTGAGGATATAAAAAAATATGATGAACCGGATTTAATCGCTTATACAACTTTAATTAATGCAAAATCAAAACAATTGAAATTGGATGAAGCTATTCAAGTTTATCAACAAATGCTTATGCATAATATTAAACCTAATGTTTACACTTATACCACTCTAATTGATGCTTCTGCTAAGTTGAGAAATTTATCTACTGCTTTGAGATTATTTGATGATATGAAAAGAATGAATGTTTCTCCTAATCAATTCACTTATTGTTCTATAATGAGTGCTTATATTAATAATGGTCAATTAGAAAACGCGTTTCGAACTTTTGAGGAAATGAAACAAAATGGATTAAATCCTGATATTGCTTGTGTCAATTGCTTATTGGATGCTTGTAATCGTTCTGGATCAATGAAATCATTCTTTGAATTATATTCTGATACAATAAAAAAATATCATTTAATCCCGGATAATGCCACTGTAACAATTTATATTGATGCTTGTACTTATAATAATTATTTTAATGCTGGAAAAAAATTTTATGGACAAATAATTAAAAATAATTTTCCTTTTTCTGTTATTAGATTAAATAATCAAAATATTTTAGCTATAATTAATTTTATAATTAAAAGTGGTAATTTGGGTGAATTTGCTAATTTATTAAACTTTATGAAACAAAAATTATTTCATCCAAGTCCTTTTATTAAATTAGTTATTTACAATCATTTAAATGAATTAAATAATGACAAGGAAATTGAAGCTGTAAATCGTGTTTTACATGGTTGGTCTGATATTCCAACAAAAAGAGATTTAATTAAATTTAAAAAAAAATATAGTAGATAACATGTACAGTAATCTTTGTAATTTCAGTTTTTAAATTTGAATTTAAGTAATAATATAAATATTATTAGTATTCCAAATTACCCGAAAGTCATTTGAGAGTCTTGCCTCAGAAATGTAATAAATTATTAACCAATCAAATGACTTAAATGTTTTATGACATTCATATATAATTTTATCTATTTAAATATTTGATCTTTAAAAACTGGTCTCTATTTAAAAGATTATTCTTATACTTTACTATCATCATCTAGTATTTTTTAAATGATAACTTCTTAGTTATATAAAATTATTTATTATATATAAATCATTAAATAATAGAAATGTTTCTAAGACTGCAAGAACTGTCATTATCTAAGATGATACAGAAAAAAGGGCTAATTAACAGTGTACATATAGGATCTATTTAATAAATAATAAATGGTTTATAAGTCAATTATATTAATTTTTCATATACAGTATTAATAAGTTTATAAATATACTGCAATTAAAAAATAATAATAATAATAGAAAATATGTAAATATCTACTTATTTATATAATTTAAATATAGATTTTCCAAATTTTAATAACAAATTAAATAAAAGAATTTAGTAAATATAATCTATTTTATCCAATATGTATATATTTATAAAAAGCTTCTGAATTTTATTAATTTATATTTATATAAAATATTAACTAACTATTTACATTATATATTTTAGCTATTTTTTCTAATAAATTCTACTTTTATATTTTTTTTATAATTATTTTTATTTAATTTAATAAGTTATTAATACAATTAATAGTTTTTTTTTTTAATAATAATTTCTTATAAATAAATTTTAAGAAGCATATTAATATTATTTTAAAAAATTATTACTATTCTACTTTTATTTTTTTTTTTTTAATTTATCCAATTTTTTAAAAAATTAATAATTTTTTTTTTAATCACAATATATTTATAAGTTTATTAATAAAGATGGCAAGAGATGTACAATTATGAAGGTTTAACTATAAATGAAATTTAAAATTATTATATAAATGTAAATTTAATTATTAATTTTTTTTGGATTTTCCACTATTTACAAACTGCAAGAACTGTTTGTTATATTTATAATGATTTATTTTAATACATATAATATACTTGTATAGGAAAAATAACTAATTAATAGGATTTATTTATTAAATAATGGATGGTATATATATAAATTAATTATATTAATATAGTTTTAGTTTTTTTATATACTTTGTATTTGGTCTTTTATTTGAGACCATACTATACATAATTTTCAAAATAGTGCATTTAAAGAGGGTGTACATTTATAAAGATGAAATAATTAAAGATCATATAAGCTTAAAACTGAACCAGAAGGTGCATTTAGAGAGGATATATATAATAGGACCCCGGATATCTAATATAAAGGTCATAATGGACTTTTGGCCAAAAACACCCCTTTTTGCTAAAACTTAAAAAATCGTTTTTTGTAAATATCTCAGCATCCAGTAATTCAATTTTAATGAACTTTTTTTTATTTTGTAGCCCTCATTTAGCTCTACAATTTAAAAAAAAGTTCATCAAAATTGGACCACTGGATGCCGAGATATTTACAAAAAACGATTTTTTGAGCCCCTGAAAAATGGGCCAATCTGCCGAAAGTGTGACTTATGACCTGTTTTGGAGATATCCGGGGTCCTTATATAATGGATGCAATTATGGAGAGTGCAATTATAAAGGTCTGACTGTAATAAAAAATTATTGTATAGAAATTTTCTAAAATAAAATTTATTTTTATAAATTTAAAAATTAAATAATAAATTTAAATATTAAATATTAAATATAAATTATTATTAAAATTATTAAATATATATAAAAATATTAAATTAATTTGTAATTTAAAAATTAATTACAAAAAATAAAATTTAATATAATATTAATTAACAATAAAAATAAAATAAAAAATTATTTTAAAAATAATAAATATTTGAACTTTAAAATATTGATCAAAAAATAATTGATTTAACAAATATTAAAAGATTGATAAATATAATGTAAAAGATTGTTAAAAAGAATTAATAATTAAGTTTTTTTTTATAATTTTTTTTAATTTGTAGCTAATTTCAATTATGCTTAAAGAAAATATAATAATTGATACTAATATTTCAAAAATCTTTACAAGTGGGTTAAAAAATAGTAGATATCAACAGTAGAAAAGAAAAAAACTTACAAGGAAAAGGAAATAGAATAATTTAATACATTTTTAATAATATATATATATTAAATAAATTTTAATTATTTTAATTATATAAAAAATATTATTTAAAAATAAAAGATTAGATATCGGAAAAAAAAAATTTTTAAAAAATATGGTTTTATAACTGAATTTTTTTAGTTTAATAATTTTTAATGCAAATAAAAATCCAGTTAAAATTTCTAATTTTTTTAAAAAGAGTATTGCTAAATAATAAATATGAACTACTAAATTTTATTAGGATTCTAAATAATACTGATATAACTTATATTATACTTTCTAGTAAAATTAATGTCATAAGCAAAATCAATTATATTAGTTATAATTATTATTAATAAAGCATATGAATTATTGCAAATTATAATATTATATTACATTAAAATTAATAAATTATAGTTTTATAATTGAATTTTTTTAGTTTAATAATTTTTAATGCAAATAAAATCAGTTAAAATTTCTAATTTTTTTAAAAAGAATATTACTAAATAATAAATATGAACTACTAAATTTTAATAGGATTCTATATAATACTGATATTATACTTTTATAACTTATATTATACTTGCCAGTAAAATTAATGCTATAAGCATAATCAATTATATCAGTTATAATTATTATTAATAAAACATATGAATTATGGTGAATTATAGCATTATATTACATCTGTAATAATTTAAAAAATCAATTTACATAGAGTTTATAAAAAAAATATTTTTTAAACTAGTAATTTGAATTTGCCAAAATAGAATTTTGTGTAGAATTAAAACATCATAAAACTTTACTTATTAATATTTGCTAATACTAGTGTAGTAAAAATTAAGTAAAAATTGGAGTAGCAAGTTTCAAGGTAGGAATAAAACTATATTCTTCCAGCCCATAATATTCCTTTTACTTAATAAGAATGGCAACTCAACTACATATTATTATTTAAATATTATTATTTTTACCATTTTTCCATAAACCAATTACATCTAATATACTAATATACCCATTCTTCTTAATATTTTTCCTATACTAAGCACAAGTTTCCATTCTGGAATAAATCTTATTTTAATTTATTAAACGTGGTTAAGATATTATTTATTATAATATTCTCTTTATGTGAGTAAAATTAGTATTCATTATTATATGATTATTGTCATTTAATTAAATAAATGTAACAGTTCCTTTCTTTGTATTTTATAATGGATATTACAAAAAGGTTACAAGGATTGTTTTCTAATAATTCTAAAAATAATCATTGTATTTGTTACAGCATATTCAAAAATTGTAAAATATAAAACTTTCTTTTGTAATAATTTTTGTTACAGGTTTCGGAAAAGATTAAGTGTAGGGATTACTAAATTTGGTCAATGATTATGCGAAACCTGAATGAATTTTATCTATATGTAAAACAAGTAGTTATTAATCTATATAATACATATAATAATTTTTTTTTGAAACCTTATTTGTTTAACATACGGGTTATGAGTTAACAAAATTGTCAATAAAATCATCAAGGACGTTTCAATAACAACAAATTGTTTATTTTTAATGTAGTCTACGAAAAATATGAAATTAATTAAATTAGAATTAATAATTACGATTTCTGAGATTTTATATAAGTTGGTTCCTATTTGTTATCAATATACTACCAATAAAATTTTCTGGATTTTTTGGACGCGCAAATATTTTTTTTTTTTATTATCAATAGCTTTTAATTTACTACGATTTTTTGATTGCAAATCTAATAATAATCTAGGTATTCCATGTAAAATTTTATCATAATTTTAAAGAAAATAATTGAAAAAAATCGGAAAATTCTTATTAATTAATTAATTATTCTATTTATTTTTTAATAACTAAATTACATTCATATACATGATATCACTAATATTATATATATAATTTATTAAAGTGTACACACGCTACATGATGCAGGAACGGACGTAAATTGATTTGTATGTAGGTCACAAAATGAATATTTCTGTTGACAGATACCATTCGGTATAAGACCAGTCAACCCATTAATAGCCAATCTCCTAAAAAAAATTAAATTAATTAGTATATATATATACAAATATAATAATAATAATAATAATAATAACTTACAATCTGTTTAACTTTATATCACCGATTGTTGCAGGAATTTCTCCAGATAATTTATTATCTGATAATAGTAAATCGAATAATTGTAATTTAGACAATTCAGCTGGAATTTGACCCGTAAAAGAATTGCTTTCTAAATTTATAGTTTTCAAATTTTCACATTGAACTATAGATGGAGGTATAATACCACTAAAGTTGTTTGAATTTAAATCCAAAAATACTAAACTTTTCGCAAATTTTGATGTTATAATCGAAGGAAATTCACCGGACAAAAGGTTAAATGCTACACTAAGTGTCTTCAAATTTTTTAAATTCATTATTGAATCAGGTATACCTCCAGTATACAGATTACTACTTAAATCCAACATTATCAGACTTTGTTGTAGTGTAGGACTATTACCAATGAAATCAGGTATTACGCCAGTAATATTTTGCATAGCATAGACCAAAATCTCCAAAGAGGTTTTTGCTATAGAATCCGGAATAGGATCAGATAATTGACGATTATTAGTTAATCGTAAAGTTTTTAATGAAGTCATCTTATCAAAAGTATTTGGAATCTTGCCAGTTAAACCGGTAGATGTTATAAATAATTCTCGTAAATTTTCCAATTGAAATAAAGAAGTGGACATTAAATTATTTGGTAATTTATTGCCTCCAATTAAAGTAAATTTTTGTAACGTCTTTAATTGTCCTATTCTAGTATCAAGAAATCTTGGAATAATCGGAAATTCTAATAATAATTCAACAACATTATTGGAATCATCACATTTAACTCCAACCCATTTACAATAATTAATATCTTCCATCCAATTATTCAGTTCAAACATTGTTCGATTTATAGCATTTATATATACTGATTTTAACATACAGAATTGTGTAACATTGTAAAATGAGTTATCATCCCAGCAAAATTCACAATTGAAATTTAATGGTGGAGTTGTTCCTAATAACGTTGAACATATTGTTGATTTTAGGTTTTGTTCTTGCGCTGGGGTGAAATCATTTACTAAGTTCGTTATATTTGATATTGGTGAATTACGATAGGCTGCATATGCTACATCTAAGGCTGCTATATTTCCTAATAATATTAATATTATAATAATCAATATAATAATCAAACAACAATTCCTTTTTTTCTTCTTTTTCTTTAATAATTTTTTCTTTTCCTCTTTGGTCAATGTCGCAATTTCTTTCTTTTCTTTCTTCTTTTTCCACCAAAATAATTTGGATATTTTAGAAAATAATTTAGAAAAAAAAGATTTCTTTTTAACTGGAGGTGAATTATTATAATCATAATTGATTGGAATAAGGGTAGATGCGTCACTATGAGTATAAGTACTATTATTAATTCTATTATTATTTCTCGCTGCTGGAGGAGGATTTCTTATTTCAATTTCTACACTTTTTGGATATTGAGCTTTTACTTTTTTCTTTTTAGCTCGTTGACTTTCATAATTATCACTATCACTTTCCGATGAAAATGCTGAACGTTCTCGTTCTTCTTCTATACTTTCCATATTATTCGTGGTAATGATGATGGTAATTGATTTGCTATGAGGGGATATAAAGTATAGCAGATAGGTATTTATATAAATTTTATTTAAAGGAAATAATACCAGATTATTTCACTTAATTAAATAAATTTATACGTGAAAAGGACCTGCTTCTCACGAGAGAAAAAAAAAAGAAAAAAAAAAAATACTTTTTTGATATCCTTCATAATATATAATAATTTTTTTCTAATAATACATAATAATACAACAAACAATTCATTTTTTTTTTTTTTAAAACAATATTCTTTGTTTACTTTGTGCGGGTTCTTTCTTCTGAAACCCTTTTTTTTTTAAAGTGAAACAAAACACACATTGTATATCATATAAGGGACACTTTACCTAGATTTGTACTAACTTTGTCTGTTTAACAAGTTGCGATCTACAAAGGATCCACAACGGACTTATCGATTTCTTTAATGTTAATACAGTTAGTTAAACAAAAAGGATTGTTTCACGAAGTTTCATGATTAAATACAGAACAATACTGTATATGCCTGGAAATTTTTAAGATTTAACGTCATATTTTATCAACTCCTTACTCAACTATATTTAGAATATAAAGTATTATCATTCTGTTCATGCGTAGTATTTATTATTAAACTAAATGCTTATATTACAAATAAAAATTGAAATCTATACAATGGTTTCTACAATAAATATATCCATATTGGTATAATAATAACTACGCATTGATGATTCTAAATAAAAATAAATTATAGTAGATTAAAGTAAATTTTAATCATTTATAATCAGCGCCAAAAAAAAATATTTATCCTTTGTAGTATTCAGTTGTTACGGTTCTTTCAAAATCCGAAACGTTTTGCCCGGTGAACTTTCTATATATGCATCCGAAAACATCCGAAACCTCCGAAACCTTAATTGGATATATATCTTTTTGTTGATCAAATTGGGTGAAACCGCAACATTACACGAACAATATATAATTTACTCTTAGTTACATTCATTATTTTCTAATATATATCGTCTAATTGCTTTCTATAATATATTATTTATACATGGGTGAATTAACTCATGTCCCATGGTAATTAGGCAATACACGTGTAATGCCGAAAATATAAAATAGTATATTCCGAATTATTGCACCAATGAATTGCAGAAATCTATGCCGATTTGATGATCTCATTTCTGCAATTCGCCATTATGGTGTTTCGATAATTCACCAATTAAGCATTACTGCGGTCAGCGCGGTGTTGATTCATTTCGGCAATTCGGCAATTTGACATTGCGGCTGTGTACATTTTGCCGCCGTAATATTTCGGCACCACCTAATTTTAATTCACGTATATATTATCTTAATAAGCATCTTTTTTTCCTAAAAATAGTAACCATCTTTGAATTGAACTGCGGACCTCTTGTATTTATTCCCAATTTATCATGAATTTCGAATAATTTACAGTGTGTTTCGGTTTTAATTTTTTTTTGAAGTGATTAAGTAAAAACTTATTTTATTTTATTTTAACACTTATTGAAATTAACTTCTTTAGGACATTTTAATGTCAAAAAAAAGGCAACTGGCCTACTAAAAAAATATTCTTTTCAATATGATTTATAAATTATTCTTATAAAGGTGTAACGATGTAGATCAATTTAGTTGAAAATCGATTTTTAAAAAAAAAATCAGATTGTTTCATTGAAAAATTCAAATCTTTAAGGAATTTACTATTAAGGTATGAAAAAATAATTTTTTTTTTAAATAAAAAAAATGCGATTTTTTCGTTTTTTATTTGTTTTATAATGGATCAAAATAAGAATTATAAAATGAAATTATAAATCACATGATGATTGTCGATAAATCATGTAAAAAGGTGCTAAATTGGGTTACTGTACATTTCGCTGAAATCCATTTCACCAAAGCCATTTCGCCGAAGGGATGTTTCACCGAAGGATGTTTCGCCTCACCGAAGTGCATTTTATCGAATCCATTTCACCGATTCGTCCATTTCGCCGAATTCCATTTCACCGAAAATGGTAGCGAATTAACATTTTTTATAAAAAATGTTCATCGCGCAATAAAAATAAAAAATAAAAATAGATCTTTTTTCCCAGGTTATTTTAACATTCAAGTAACTGCTATTAATTGTTAAGCAATAAATAAAGAAATTTTCCTGAAAAAATTTATTCGCGAAAGTATAAAGTGAAAAAAAGGTTAATGTATTATAAACAACGTGATAAATTTAATAAAATTTATCTAATTCAAAAATTTTCTAGTAAAGATTTCTTTATGTATTTAGTGTAATTACAATAAAATAATCAAATGGAATAAATAATTTTTTGGCAAAATTTCCGTTCGACAAAATGTTCATTCGGCGAAACGTCCTTTCGGCGAAATATCCCTTCGGCGGCGAAATGAGTTTCGGCGAAAAGTTTCGAACTCCCGATACTGTAAGGTGATTCAATTTGTAAATTGTAATGACCTAAAAAAGAAAAAAAAATTCTTCCTATATATTATATTTATTTTACATTGTATTGCCCTATAAAAAAAATTCTGGAAAAACTCCGATAAATGATCATTTTCTAGTTTTCATTCCGAAGAAACTCAGACACATGATCATTTTCCAGACAAATTGTTTATAGGGTTGTATTCCACAGAAATCTTTTCTCGAATTAACGCATTAGCGTTTATTCTTTATTGTGATGTATCACAAATAGAATGAATTTGGGAGAATAATATAAATAAAATATATGAGAAAAAATACAAAAAAAGGTATTTGTGAAGAAATATATCTAATAATTCCAATTAAGTTTACCTTTTACTGGAACATATCTACACATGTCACCAACAATAAAAAATTATTTGTTATAACTTATTATTCTATGCAACTATATACGTTTTTATGAGTTTTTCTGAAGTTGATTTAAGAATTCACTTAAAAAACAACTTTATAAATAAAAGGTGTCAGTGGTATATTGTTTTTGAAATTCATTAAAACAAACGATCTCATTATCTTTTCAAAATTTTAATTAATTACTCATTCAGTAGTCTCGCATTCATAAATTGGCGTTAGTGCATAAACGCCTGTTATTTGATATAAATGAAGTATCGGGTCGTTGATGTTATCTATATTATCAAGATCAAATAACGAATCTCTAAAAGAGTATTCGTAATTATTCAACAATTTCATGTATTTTTCACCGATCATGGGAGAAATTGGTCTTGCCAACGGTTGTATATTTATCGCATTGCGTACCTTTAATTAACATAAAATGCATAAAAAGTTAAATATCGAAAAAAGATCGATAATATGAATTAGTTTTTATATCTTACCTCTTCCTCCCTGATCTTTGATATTCTTTGTTCATCAGCTTCCTTCTCTCGGAATCTCCTGTGTTCGTCAGAAATATGACGTTCTTCCATAGTATCAGAAAAACCAATTGGTTCTGTTGGTGGAGGACATTCAGGTTTCCTAGGAATTTCTGGCTCAAAATTGAGGAGAGGCTGTGCATGGAATGGCTTAGGTTTTATGGCCGGTGAATATGGAAAGTTAAATATCGAAAAAAAGATCGATAATATGAATTAGTTTTTATATCTTACCTCTTCCTCCCTGATCTTTAATATTCTTTGTTCCTCAGTTTCCTTCTCTCGGAATCTTCTGTGTTCGTCAGAAATATGACGTTCTTCCATACGAGTATCAGAAAAACCAATTGGTTCTGTTGGTAGAGGACATTCAGGTTTCCTAGGAATTTCGGGCTCAAAATTGAGGAGAGGTTGTGCATGGAGTGGCTTAGGTTTTGTTATGGCCAGTGAATATGGAAAGTTAAATATCGAAAAAAGATCGATAATATGAATTAGTTTTTATATCTTACCTCTTCCTTCCTGATCTTTGCTATTCTTTGTTCCTCAACTTCCTTCTCTCGGAATCTTTTGTGTTCGCCATAAATATGACGTTCTTCTATACGATTATCAGAAAAACCAATTGGTTCTGTTGGTGGAGGACATTCAGGTTTTCTATGAATTTCGGGCTCAAAATTGAGGAGAGATTGTGCATGGAGTGTCTTAGGTTTTGTTATGACCGGTGAATATGGTTCAGTCAGCTTTGGCTTTGGTACTTTTGGTATTTCGCGTTCTTCTGTAGGTAATATACTGAACAATAATCAAATACATTAATAATTAATTACCCGGCTTATGAATGATTTTCGCATTTATTTTATTTATTAATTAGTGAAGTATAACTACGTAGTGGGTTTAGACCTATCTTTAATGCGCAAGTACGGAGATTTTGGTACAGTTAAGGTATTTGAACGTACTTTACCAGACTTTTTTTTTTAAAGGAAAAAATTGCGATTGTTAGCCTCAAAATCACGATATTGATTTTGAAACGTATTATCATCTGATACCTTAGCATCGAATCTGGTTGGATTTTCTAAAAGTGGTGATTTGGGGGAATTTTCTTTATTACGAGATTTACTGGCCCGCAATTCAGTATAAAATTTGAAAGGCTTTGGTACTGTTGGTACGAACGCACGTTTCTAATAGACGAATTATATTATTATAAACGCGTTAAAATGATAATATGATAATCCACTTCAAATTTATAATAATTACTTGTATTCCACCGCCACTCTTTTTAGCTAAATAATTTTTAGTTTGTGGCGATTGAGTCCTTGACATGACCCGATTAAGATTATCTTCAAACTTTTCGGCCGTTTTTTTTTCAGTTTTTGTTACTAAATAATTTTTATTTTGTGGTGTTCGAGTATTTGACGCTACTGACATGACCCGACTAAGATTACATTCAAACTTTTCGGCCGTTTTGTTTTCAGTTTTTGTTACTAAATAATTTTTATTTTGTGGTGTTTGAGTCCTTGACGCTACTGACATGGCCCGACTAAGATTACATTCAAACTTTTCGGCCGTTTTGTTTTCAGTTTTTGTTATTAAATAATTTTTATTTTGTGGTGTTTGAGTCCTTGACGCTACTGACATGGCCCGACTAAGATTACATTCAAACTTTTCGGCCACTTCAAGTTTGTCGTTATTAAAATTAGTTGCGTCCATATTTTGTTTTCAGTTTTCGTTATCAAAAATCAGTTTAGAGCAACAAGTTTTGTTTCAGTTTTTGTTACCAAGAATCAGTTTAAAACAAAGTCAACAAGGTTTGTTTTCAATTTTTGTCACCATCTGTACTTAAAAGGGACTTGTTGATCACACACGTATAGCATGCAGATCATAATTACTATTGGCTAATTTATCATGTTTATTTACTATGCTCACACGTATGACGTAAGGTTTTTATTCTGACCAAAATATCAAAGCGAATAAACAAGTTTTTAATTGGTCCGTTAATATTAATGTTACACTATGATTTTACTATAATTCAGTTATAACTTATAACTGACTAAACTGAGGTAAATACATTATCAGTTATACTATTGAAATAACCCTTGGTAAAACTGTTAAATTACAACCTAGATCCAGTGTTCCACAACTTGAACCATACCTACATGTTACACAAAGTTAGTACATTGGTTTGTAACCTTTAAAGGCTATAAAATTTTATTAAGCTTGGTCTTTTTCTTTAATAAAATGTTTCCAGAATTCACGTGAGCAAGGTTAAGAACTAAATGGATGATCTTTTCCTTGTAATTTTTGTGAAACTTGTAAAATATGCAAAGAGTAAAATCTGGTGTTTTAACGTAGCGATTTTTTTTTGGACTATAAAAAAATATATCTATCCATCCCTCTATCTCATCTTAGTAATTTTCCTGAGTTGAGCGCGCTTATCTGATTTTCTTACGGCACTTGTCCTATCAAATACTGATGGTATGATAAATTCATTATCTTCTGATTGGCGAAAATTATGTCCAATAACAAGATTTGACAAATTTAACATTTTTTTATTAATTGATGTGTAAGTTGTATCAAATTCCTGATTTTTTGAAACATAAGGGTATTTTATTAACTCAACGTTAGTATTTGTAGGATTTGAAAGAATAAAATCGAAATTAATATTGTATCTACACAACCATCCATCAGATTTTCAACTTGTAATCACATCTTTCTAATTTTTTTTGGATACAATTGATAATAAGTGATGGTTTTCCATTAGATGGATAATATTTGACAAGTAAAAGAATCATTCTTTAATCCTGTCATGTCGGGGAGAGTTGCAAAAATATCGCAATCTGCTTCTTTATCTTGAATCATTTCCATGATATTTGATGGTAATATATATCATATATATATATATACAGTATATCTCATTAGATTTCTAGGATAAGTTGATGAACTGTATCCATAACTATACGTAAAGTACAAATATTCCCTATATTAATAAATAAATAACTATTTTTTTATTCAGGTTGCTGTAGCGTATTTTTTTTCTCCTAACGAACGATTGCAATAAATTGTTTTAAGATTCCTAAAGAAATACTTATAAACTTTATTTTTTTTTATCCTCTTTAGCCAACTAAATAATCACCATATATGTAATTTTAAACTTACTTATATTAAACGTCCATTTATTCTATTCATTATTTTCCAAAATTTTTTACTACACAATCTATAAAAGATTCTTTTTTTAATAATGCCATTTTAATCAATTATGATTTAACAATTACTTTAGATGACCTGAATTTCCCCATTTTTTTTGTTCACAAATATGGAACATGCATTGAAGTTCTAAATGGGCTGATACATAATTCGTCTATTACATGCTAATTTGATCTATTTAAAACCCTTCTATCGAAAAATATGAAAGCGGAAAATGAAAAAATTTATTAGTCGGAAGTGACGAAGGACTATATATTATTATGCGAAAGTTACGTTATTGATGCATTATTAAGTAAAATAAACTCATGCAGTCATATGTGATATTTTTCCCCGTTTCCTATTATATACATATATATATGGAGGTTTAGAAAACGTTAAAGAATCAAATTCGGTAACAAAATTTTTTTTTTGGATTCAAATATTTAAAAATATGTAGTGTAGTTCTTTGATTGTGACAGAAATCCCGTACACTTTATAGAAGACATTTTTAAGATGTCTTCTGTTATTTCTATAAAAACACCGTAAAATGAAGCACTTTTTTCCGTTAAAATAATAAATTCGAATCCTTCCATTTTAAAGAAAATTAAATAGAACGCATAAATTATCAGAAATTCGTGTTGAACTCAAGTTCATTAATACGCTATTTTTAAGAAAGAAAGAAGATAATGATTATTACGATATTATAGAAAAGGACGAATAAGAAGAAAATTCAATTAGATGATATTATTGATAAGAGCAAGAAAGAAGAAACTATATATTTAGAAAAGAGAATTTATTGGAATGATCTAAATAAAAAATGTCATTTAGAATGTGGACGTATCATGAGTTTTGATGGATTTCAGAAAAAGAGATTGTGAACTAGAAGAAATTGATTCAGCTCAATTTAAAATAATTGAATTTAATTCATGGAAGATTGGATGATAAAAACAAATTTATTTTCTGGAGTTGATATTAACGCACGGAATTTTGTAGGATTTTACATGACGATTTACGTGATTTACGCAATAAAACCCTTAAATCTATTGGAAAAACAATCCTTTATAGGGATATTTTGAATTGCGATTATGATTTAAGTACCCGGAGATTTCTGAAGGATTGAATTAAAAGATGATATCCCAAAGGATATTATTCGAAATAAAGAGGCTGATTGTGATATTTTTGTGGCTATTGTTGATGCTGATGAGAATTCAAAAAAAGTAATTATTAACTGCCATATTAAAAAATTAGAAGAATCAAAAGAGCTTATAATTCATGGTATCCAAAAAAATTTTCGACCATGTCAATGCAAATTGAAAATTGATCTGATGATTATTGGTTATGACACTTTAGTTCCATTCTTTCAGACACTAGTCTCGAATTAATAAGAAATTCTTATATTTCAAAAATCTGGAGTTTGATACTATAAAATTATCTCAATCAATAGAAAGAAGTATTCCTTACTTTGGAATTCCTGTGTTAGACAAAGACAAATCGACTCGTCAAATACTGTCATTGGACATAATTTTCGCCAATCAGAAGATAATAAATTATATATAGATATATTTGCTATAGTCTAAAAACAAATCGCTATGTTAGTTTGCCAGATTTTACCTTTCATATTTATAAATCGCGTACGTTTGATTTTAAAATATTTAAAAAGCCATTCATTAATTTTCATAAATCGCGTACGTTTGATCAATCGATTAACATAATAGATTTTAGTCCAAAATATATAAGTTTATTCTTATCAAAAGATAATTATAAACCAATTTTATTAAATCAAAAAACAAAGCAAGTTAAAATTAAATATATTAATTGTAAATGCAATAATCTTCACCGAATTTTTGACTTGTTGAAATCCTGTATTCTCAACCCCTCCATCCGTAATATTGGCAAAGATAGGATAAAGTTTTCATTCATCCTGTTGGTTAAGGCTGAAATTTCACTTGATTGGGAGGAAATGGTTCTATGATATCAACATTTTTTTCCACAATCAAAAAATGGGCATGAAAGGTATGGCCACAGCTGAAGATAGTAATTACCTTCAGAGGTTATTTTAAAATTTCATTATTACATTCAGAACATTGCTCTAGCTCTAGAATTTCTTTATCCCTGAGAATATCGTCTTCAAGATATTGTAAGCAAACTTCCTATAGGTTGTCAGATTTCGGAGTTTTACCTGTTTTTCTCAATGTCCTGCTTTGTTTCGAAGCTGACATATTGGATACACTAGCTTTATCAATACCTCTTGTCATCCCATTTTATTTATAGCACTTGTAATTTTCGCAGGAGAAAAAATTTCCCGGATTTTACCAGCAATTATGCACTGCATTTTGTCATTTCACTAATCCCCTTGCGAATCAATAAAAATGACTTCAGGATTAGCATACACTTCCCCGAATCCCATATGCGAAATAATGATTGCTTGAAAAATGTCTATATTCGAATATTGTTTTTATTAGTATGATACTAGCTAACTAGCACGCCCGGAGACATGACACGGCAAAAATTGAGTCAGAAAAAAAAAGTAATGTGCGATTCGCACGTCACACAGCTTGGCAAGATATTTTCCTGATATCATAAAGTGGTTTCACATGACTGGCTATACTCAATAACGTATGAGTAGCGGGAAGAAACTCTCATTTTATGAGTTTTTCTCTTTAAACTCACTTCATTAATTTTGTTTATCTCAATATAACTTTGTATCACTTTATTTAGAATAAAAACCAACATATTTTTTTCAGCAATTTTCGTGGCCATTCTGCTATGGCGAACCCGGCTTTAGTAGACGACCCCGTTTTTGGCATTGAAATTGAATGAGAAATTTTATTCATAAATATTAGCATATAAGAATTTTTTTGACTATATTAATACAATATATCATGCCGAATTTCTTACCAAACAATCAGGATAGTCCAGCTTATAAGGAGCTGGAAGGCGCTTTGCTAAGGCAAAACTACTTTGAAAAATGGCATATATTTAGGGGATGGAAGCATGGATGTAAGGTTTGCGAGGAATGTGATCATCACTCACATCTATATTGCAAAAGGTGTAAGAAGGTTGCGGAAGGAATTAAGTAATTTGATCAATAAAGCAATGGTGCAAATTTACCAGACATTTTATAATTTTTTCACATGGGAAGCAAAGTGTGCTATTATTTTTTCGATCAAGCTTCATTATAGCTTGATAAAATCAATGCGCAGTAATATTATAGTAATCATTACATGTATCACAGGAACAAGTAATTGCACATTCTCAAACTTTCTCGCACATTCTCAAAAATTATGTATAGCCTCTTGATGATCCTTATATATGGATAGCATTAAGTTCTTTATTATTAAATTAAGGGGATGCGATTTTCGGGATGCGATCATATTAATGTAATTTTCCCCAAAGTATATTCCAAGATTGATCCTGCAAATTGTATAAAAAAATGATGTCCTAGTTAGTAAATCTTTTTATCTGAATATAAGCAAGAATCAAGGAAAAATCAAACGAAAATTCTAATAAAATTAATAAAATTTAAAACTGCCGTTATTTGCATCATCAATATTTACAATCAAACAAACTCGTATATTCCGCAAAGTAAATAATAAAGTAAGTTAGTTTATTGCTCGGCTAGCTTCTTGAAACATGTCATCACAATGTTAATCGATTTTCCCGCCTCTATAGATGTTCCAAAATAAAACGGACGTATTACTCTTCTTGTTATATATCGGCATTTTGATCTTCGCCGAGAAAATCGTGATTGTCGGCACGTGTCAAATCAGCACAGTAAAATTGTGGATGTCCGTCACATGCTTTATATCAAACAGCTGGCACAGTAAATCAAACAACTCCTCTTGCCATTATTTACGTAATATCATGCTTTCGATACAAAAACCATTAAGCAACAATTTTTTCAAATATTTGACGGACTTAGAGTATTACAAAAATGAAATATAAAGGTAAGGGTTAAATGAAATGGATTATTAGTGTATTGTTTATTTTTTATCAAAAATTATGTAAATATACTTATTTATTTTCTGGTACTATAGGTTCGAAATTAATTCATCACGGAATAGTTCTCTTTCGGAGCTTAATCTTTTACATGATCTATGTGGGTGGGAGTGAAAAGGGTGATATAGATAGGCGAAAATATTGTATGTATAGTTGGGATAGGTTAGAGTGTAAGAAACTTATAGATAGAGATATTAGCAATAGAAACAAATTAGTTATAGAGAGAGCAAAGAAATAACTTGATGCTGGGACTCGCATTAAATGGCTTAGGATCCGCGTACTCCCTCCCTCTTTGATAGCATCATATATTTCATTTGCTTCTGATTATGTAAAGTTTCTGGTAACGATCAGAATCATGTGACTTTGACTGCGCACAGTAAAAAAATCATTTATGTAATACATACGTCATACGTGTCTTCACACGATATAATAAAAATGTCTGAAGACGCTTATACTTCTGAATCAAAGTATTGGGAACAAAATTTTATAGCGATGCCATTCTTTGATCAATCTGAAGAATGGAGCCTCTTAAACTTCCTAAAGTACCTTGACTCGGTGAAGAGTTTGGACGACCGTTCTGAAGCACATCATAAGTATAAACTTCTTTTGAATAGTATCAAGGATAATAAAGAAATGTCGGAAGAAAAAGAAAAAAGGCTAAACAGGCACTGTTAACTTACGAATCAACAGTTAAGTATTTTTTTTATTATTATTCAATATTATCGTCTAGAGGAAGGAGGAAGGAGTGTCGGTTGAGGCTGAAGAACCCTGCCATCGAGGTGGTAGGCACTCGTGCTAGGTTGAGGCTGAAAAACCTCCGTCGAGGCGGAAGGTGCACCTCTGGATTGTTTTTAGGCGCTTAAAAATAAGTACCAGACAACCTCAATAAATTCTAACAACTAACTATTTCTTTGGCTTTTAGAATGAATCCCATTCTTCCGAGATCAGAGAATTTTGGCTTCGAATATCTCTTAATGAAAAAGCTACGAAAAGTACCAAAAGAATTATCGACCAAATTAATATAGTACAAGATGAAGCGAGCGATATTTTAGTTCTCTGCAAGAGGGACAATCTTATGAGACTACGATCAGGTATTTTATTGTTAGATTTATAGCTTCTCATTATTTTTCTTTGTTGACTCAGTTGATTTTTTACATTAAATAGATTTTGAAATTGGAGAAAATACCGAAGAAGATGGTGGACTGGCAAAGGTATATAATAAATCAAGTAAACAGCGCATTGCTCAAAAATAATGACCAAACTTATGTTATAGAATAAACCTGTACGGCCATCCAACGAAGACCCTTCCAACCTTTCTAATGGTGATGACTTTTCCAAGGATGACGACCTTTTCGATGACGACCTTTTCGATGGCAACGACCTTTCCAATGATGGCGACATTTCCGATAATAACAATGATGGCTTTTCTAATGGGTTTAAATCAGAGAAAGGTGAGGAATGTGATTTACTGAGTTACGTGAACCATATTCACAGAAAATTTTAAACGAAGGTATAAAATTACCAGCTTCTAATAAACGAGAAAATGAGACCGAAAGAGACGTATCTACATGCAAAAAGGTAAGTAATTATAGGTGGTAAAAGCTACAAGAACGTAAAAGCTCATGTACATTTTTCTATATTTAGGCAAAAAAGAGCGTGAAGAATGATTCTCAACCAAGAAACGGAAGGTCATCCACCGAGCCTCTTCTCTCTTCTGATGAGAGTAACAAAGAACATAATGAAGACGATACGGAAATTAAAGTTGATCTACCAAGTATTTCAACCGAATTGCAACGTGAACCGATAGTCAAAGTATTATACATATTAAATTTTGATTCTTTTACTACATGTACCTTACGGTTTGCTTCTGTTTTTCAGTGGGAAGTTGGCCACATCAATGTGACCGATCGGTTTCGGCAGTACCAGAAGGAAATTATTAATAAGGCGGAAATGAAAGGGTTGAAATACGACAATATATACGAACTCTTGTATGTACTCTGAAAATATAACACAACGATTTTACTAAGCATCTTTTTCTTATACTTAGAGCTTTGTCATCGATTATTGTCCTCTCTTGGCCATGACCATATCCTTCCTTGTTTACAATTCAAGAATGGAAAGAAGTTACAAAAAATAATCCTTATACTGTTCAAGAATCCTCACTTTCACCAGACATTTTGTCATCTCTTAATGAAGCATCGTTTAACCATTTTCTCGAAAAGGACGCATTTATGGAAAGTGGAAAATCGAAACTAAGTAGACTAGCTGCACGATCGTTTAATGATTTGTATGTAATATAATTTTGTAATATATACATGAGATTGTAGCTTATATAATTTTTTTTCCGTCGTAGATATGACAGTATCATGAAGACTGCTCCGTTAAAATTGTCCTAAGAAGAACATTGTCTACACTTCGTCTACCCAATTGCTCGCCCATTTTTCGTTGGTGAGAAAGAATACGATTTAGTGTTAAACCGTTCTAATTCGGGCTCTAGAAAAAGACCGGACCTTTCATGTGTGGTGAATGGTGTACCGATTCTGAATTCGGAATTTAAACCTTTGGGAAATACACCGTTACAACGAATGAAGGATAGGCTGAAGGCGCAGTTAAGGGCTCGAAAATCCATTAATCAACAATTACAAAATAAGGGAGGTCCGGGCGAAGCTGTAATATTTTTAAACATGGGTAGGTGAGAGAGATTGCATGAGAATTTATTTTTATATATATTGATTTATTTTCTGCGATAATTAGGCGACTTAATGGAATCTTATTCTATGGATCTTAAGTATGACGGTTTATACCGTTCCTGGCCATTCCTCACTACCAGGCTGGTAGTTGACAAGACCATGATTCCGCTTGCAGGAGTTGCGATCCATCACTTGGTATCTTTAGAGGTATATGTCACATTTCCTTGTTTATAATAAGAAACATCACTTAATTTCATTTGCCCTTTACAATTGCAGGAGCACGTTGAACGGATAGCAAAGGATTATAAATATAGAGCATGTCGTAGTGGTAATACTACACCGATCGAGCAAATGTCTTTTATGCGTAAATTTCCAGACTCACCACAAGTAAAAAAATTGATTCATTAAATTGGGGTTGGTTCATTAATTAGATTTAGATTTGGTGTATTCAGATTAGATAGCATAAATATATCTTTACGCTTATTGCTGTCATTAACAAGTCAAATATTCTAATTGTGCATTTTTTGATATGTACAGTTCGCGAAAAAAGTAATCGGAATTACAAATGGAGCAAAAAATAAAAAACCAATGATTAAATTTTGCAAGTTAGTTGTTAAATGTGTAAACATTGTGTATATTAAGTCTCAGCCTTTTGTCTTACTTGGTTGTCTCTCAATCAATTTTTTAGTTTGAAAAAAAAATCGTTTAAAAATTTAAGAAATGAAAATTTCATAAAGATTTTAATATTGTGCTCAGAAATTAACAATATGCCTGTATATCCATAATAAAAAATTATAAACATAAAAGCACATCCATAATTAATTTATTAAAAAAATTTGTTGCTATTTTAATCAGTTAGTTTTCAATAAATTAAAATTAAAATTGACTCAAAAATCCTATAAATTTAACCACATTAAAATATTTGGATTAATAATTTTTATTTGTATATGGTGGCGGAACTCTATACTCAAAAATGTTTCAAATTTTTAGTTTATCACGTGAGAAGCACAATAGCCAATAAAAACTCACAATTTTAGACAAAAAATAGATAAAACAGATACGAACATGTGCAAAAAAGGAAAAAAAAGGAAATCGGCTTAAGAATAAAGCAGAAAGTAGTATTTATTTAAGAATAATCAAACTAAAGTGGGGTTGAATTTAGGCTTTTAAGTGAATTAAGGACATTTTAAGCCATTTTAAGCTTTAAAATAATTAAATGTCAATACGAATTATGTAAATTCTCATGAAATAAATGCATTTATGTGACTTTTTGTTTCAAATTTGGGCCAATCATATAAAAATAACCAAATTTCAAACGCTTATAACTTTTTATGTAGATATTTTTTTGAAAATCTGACCGGTAATTTAATAGTACTTGTCTTGTAGAACAAAGTTACAAGTTTATTTCTTTGAAATTATATTTTATTAAAGTGTTGAAAGATTTATAATTATCACAATTTTATTTTTGAGTATAGAGTTCCGGCACCATATTTTGAAAATTATTAATCTAAACATTAAATATTTATAATAACTTTTATATTTATTTTATTTTATGTTTAATTTTGAATTTTAGTTCTTTTAATGAAAATTAAGGGTAAAGGTCAGATTATGATCATCATGATGAATCAATTTTCTCAACAACTAATGAATAATAAAGTGTCAAATTTTTTTAATGAAATTAACATGGCATAAACTCAAATTACAATTATTCAAGTTCTAATAAACTGCTTTATGAAATTTATATATTTTTTACAGTTTAAATTTTTAACAATTTTTTTTTATCAAATTAAAAATCGATTGAGAGATAACCAAGCAAGATAGAAGGTTGAAATTTAGTATACATAAGGTTTATATATTTGACAACAAATTTGCAAAATTTGAAGAAATTCTAATCACTAGTTTTTTATTCTTTACACTTTTTGTAATTCTGATTAAATTTTGATTATTTTTTTCACGAACTGTAACTACAATATATACCTGTATATACGAAAAAATTTCCAGTTTTTACACATTTATAAAAAGCGGTGAATATAAGTAATGTATTTATCATGATGTTGAAAAAATAATAAAATAATGCCGATTAGCATTTAAAGTTTTGTCTATTCAATTAGACACAATTCTTGAAGATGCTCTCCGATATTGTAAATCATCTTAATATCAACTCTTCAGAACTCAAACAAATCGCTGAGAGAATTGATGAGGTTGAAGAGGTTATATTTGAGGCCATACATAAAAATTGACCATACAAAAATGCTAGTGAACTTATTGAAAAGAACAAAACTTATAAGACTACACTTAAGAAAGCTAGAACACAACTGGAAGATTGCTCATTCGCTTCACACTTATTCTTTCTAGATGACGATAATTTAATGATAGTAGATGAATATGATGAATATGATTCATACTCAAATAATCATTCAGATACAAATACAAATACAAATACAAATACAAATACAAATACATATACAAATACAGATACAGATATAGAAGTTATCTGAAATTTTGCAACCATATTACGCATCTGCAAAAACATTAACATAGTGTGCGTATATTGTGTTAAGAAATCCCCTGTATTTTTTTTATTATTTGCGTTAGGATGAGTTACTTATTGAAGGATTAATCAAATGTATTCAAGATCATTTAATTGAAAAACAAATATATTGGATTCAACAAAATCTTTCTTTTGTTTTTAATATTATTTTTATCTTGCTTGTAATATTATTAATACACTCTCTAATATGTAATAAATATTATAATATATTCATTCTGTAATAAAAAATTTTAAATTGCTTCTATTATTTCTGTAATAAATTATCAAATTCCAACATATATTCCATTCCTATATTTATGTAATTTTTTTTCAGTTAACCAATTCCCACCCATATGATAAATGGTATAATTTTAGGTCTATTGCAAAATTTGAAGTAAGAATTAGCAGGGGTAAAAAAATAAAATAATACTTCCGATTCATCTTATATATGCTTTTATAACACTCCATTCCATTTCATATTCACTATAAATACTTCTTGAAAAAATTCAGCATATGTATTTCTACTGAATACATTAATGCTAATACCCTAATGCAATGACGTTATTCCAAAGGACATAAGTGGAATGCATTTTTTAATAATATAAAAATGGTAAGAGATGGTACCCATATTGTGCAGATAATAGACCTCTTACTATTGAACATGTAAAGCAATTGGTATGTAATAGAAATAGAATATATCTTTCTAAATATTTTACTAATAGTCATTCAACTTTATTATGGAAATGTGCCGAAGGACATTTATGGACTGCATCATTTAACAATGTCAAACATACAAACTCGTGGTATCCATTCTACTTGAAATATAAAAGAGAAAAACTATGTCAAGAAATATTATCAAAATATTTTGGACCATCATCTAAAATATGCTGACCTGATTTTTTAAAAGCACTCAAATATTATCAAGGATTAGAGCTTGATATTCCATATTATGATTATAGTTTTGCCATTGAAGTCTGAAGTAACATGAAAAATTTAATAAGTTCTTTCATAGAGGGAATTCCGATAACTTTATCAAATAGCAGGAACGAAATCAATTTAAAAAAGAATTATGTGAAGAAAACTGGATTGCCTTAATGTATGTTTAGTATTACGAAGACCCACATGTAGTTATTCCTGAGCATTTTCAAGAATTGGATTTCATTGAATGAACTTAAAACTTTAAATATTGATTTTTGATAGTATAGCGAATTGCATACACTTTATTTTTTTAGGAAATCATGTGACAATAATGATCCAAAAAAGGTATCCAAGATTATTGACAAGCATTTGCGAAATCAGAATTTTGTAGTTTTTGATTTCACCAAGCCAATAGGTTGGAATACACTTCTAACATTGGATGAGTAGAATTCAACCCTACCTTCTCACATATACTGTATGCTCATATATCATATACATAAAAAAATTGCGTGTGCGTCCCAAAAAGAACAAGAAAAAATTTTGATAAAATAATATTTATACGTACAAATATATATATATAAACTTTTTTATTTTTCTGATACCATAAGCAAACAATTAAGATATGATGTATTTGATCTTATTTCATAAATATTACTTTTTGCATTGTAACATTTTATTTAATATGAAAATATAGTATATACATATATTGACATTAATGAACATAAGACTATCATATTACTATTTAGCCAACATAAAAACCACTTAATTAAACTTTGACTATAAGTACACATATTTATTAGGTGATGAGTTTGATTTTAACAATAGGAAAAGGATGATTCAGTTGTTAATCGATAATATTAATAGTAGATCTTGCTCTTTCCTACATAAATAAAAATAATGAGACCAAACTACGAAGCAACTTATTTGAAGATTATAAAGTAAGAGATTCTTACCAATAAAGAGTATAGGGTGATACTACAGTGAGAATGTTTAAAAATTCGCACTTTCAATCCAAAACACAGTATATGAAACAATTGTGGCAGTATTTTTTTAAAAGATAGCTTCATAACAAAATATATGAAGAATCCTACAATTATAAAAATTATAACCCAATTTTTTACATATAACAAAGTATATTAGGTTATAAAAAAAATGGATATTTAAAAAAAGTCATGTTAAAAATAAAATATTGTACAAATAATATGATTTTATATAATTAAATATTACGGTATCACCTGCAGGGCTGAAGTTACCTAAACTGCCTATTTCGGGTTACTTATTGGCGCACGCGGGTGACAAATAAGTTTTGGACCACTAAAAAAATTCTAAGTCCCTCAGATAATTAGTGGTTTTTGAACTCGTGGCTGCACGTGATCAGTGACGCGTAAACATCTCCCTTCCTATTATAGTTGTGATCGACACTAACCTGTCACAACATTTCGGACCGGCCTAATTGGCATTGTAAGTGCACGCGTCTCTACTTTTCATATCTACAATATCTACTACAACCGCCAACCATTCTCTTTTGGTCGAAAATTGGTGCCGGCACTATTTTTTATTATCGCTTTATAATTTTTTTCCCAGTATTACATACGTAATGTTTATACTGTAGAGTGACCGAATAATTGATTAATACTCTATCTAGTCTCGAATCAAATTACGTACGATTATGTCGCACAAATACTTCGACCGCGATTCCTCCAATTGGAATATATTAGACTTTTTGAATGCGTGTGACGTGGAGCCATTTGACAACAAGATAGATGTTTACCTAAAATCTCTTGAAATCATCTTTGATCAAGAGCTAGGCACCCGGAGGGAAAAGGCGCGAGAGCACCTTGACAATTAATTATTTGTTTTATTTTATTTGTCCTTTGCATGGCTCCGGACAATTATGTAGTTTAAAGGAATTGAACTCAGGGTTTGTGTATTCATCACCAGTGGGCGCTAGAACGGCAAGTAATAGTTTTCTTTTTTTGTGACATGACGAAGACTTTCTGGGTCAACGTCAAAAGGCTTCTGGCTGAGTCACAAAACCGGTGCTAGGCACGTGGGCTTTCTGGGTTTCCCGTGTTAAAGGTTTCTGGCTGACCTAGCATCGGTCCCATCGGGACACGTGGGGCTTTCTGGGTTCCCTGTGTTAAAGGTTTCTGGCTGACCGGTGGGGTATATGAAAATAGTTGAGATTTTTACTAATTCAGAAAGTTTGTTATTTTTATATTTTAGGGAAGTGATCGCACACTTGCTAAAAAGTGGAATAAAGCGCGTAAATTGCATAAATCAAGTGGGACAACAATTAACATTAATAATTCAGCAGTTTCTGCAATAAATGGAATAATACATGGCGGAATGGTCAATGGCAAAGCCTCCATGTCTAAGAAAAGAGATCACGAGGTATTCAATTTTTAGTTAATCAGTAAAGTTATTTAATGCTAATGCCAATATTATTTTATGGTATAATGATTATTTGGCCTTGCGCTTCTATAGGACGAAATAGATAAATTTTTTCAAAGTCCCAATGATCAACAACCCAATCGGTTTAATAAGAAACTGCGAAAATCAGAGGCCACAGATGAATGTAAATGTGCACCGCAAATTAACGATGATGACGATGATGAAATAGATAAAGAGATGTGTGAAGCAAGCATGTTAGAGTTCGAACGTACATTTCAAGGAATGCGAAAGGAAAAAAAGTGGTTTTTGGAATCGGGGAAATGTGTTGAGGACGAGTTGTATGCCTTCGGAAAACAATGCCAATTTGAACAGTATGTAAGGATATATTAAATTATTTTATTGCTATGAAATTTCTAATATATAATTTGCGTTTGTTTTCAGTTTGGCACATTCTTTCGTTATCGACCCCGATGACGAAACCTACTATCAAAACAAAGTGTTTACTTCCGAAGAACTCGAAGAGATTCGTGAGACAGAATCAAAAGATCTTCCTAAGATGCCGATCGAATTATTGAAATATATCAGCTCTTTCCGAACGAAAACAACGGAAAAATTACGGATAATGCTTGATAAACGACAGAACTGGGAAGGCAAAAACTTTGACAAGACCAAACACTTTGATTTTGACTGGATAAAACATAGCGTTCACAGTTTATTATTAGAATTTGAGTCCGGCACATTAAAGCAAAATCACTTGGAAACGTGGTACAATATCCATATCTGGTCACTAATAGATAAATCCTTCAACGAGTTAATAGGGGTGGATGTTGCCAGAGGGGAGTCGTGTAGCCTTGCTTCTGCGAAACGTAAAAATAAACATAGAGTTATTCAAGGATTGGTCTCAACAACACGAAAAGCACTCGGAAGAAGAGGTGATTTAATCTTAAGAAAAGGAATGTACGAATACGGTGCTTCTGAGGTTGGAAAGGACTACGAGGGAGATAATGGGACAAAGTTACTTAGAGAAAGGGGTCTAAAAAGTCCGAAGATGCTTAAGGACATGTTGGTAGATTTGGGCAATTATATAAAGTGGGAAAGAAATAAATTACGTCAATTGGAGCTAGTAAGCTTCATTCATGCTGGTAGTATGCTTTTAATCTGCCTATGATTTTGATAAATTTTGCCATAAATATTAACTATATTATTATACAGGTCTTTTCATGATTTTATTACGTATTGATGCTCCTGCCGGCTATATGTGTAGAATAACGAGATCGAATACCAACCGATGTAGGATGTTTTGAGGAAGCTCTCAAATGTATGGTTTTGACTTGGAAAGCAAAGGTTAGTATCATACTATGTCATCACATCAATAGGATTCTGTCAAATACCTAACTATCTCAAAAACTTTAGGCGATTGTCCGTAAAACAATTGGTGTTATTGAAGGAATTAATGACGATGATGATGACTATGATGTATTGGAGAATTTGCAAGAAGCTGGTGTCCGTAAGCGTAAGGATTGTATCATTATTCCTAACTGCGTTAGGACTCCACAAAAAAAGCGGACAGTCCCGCAAACGTCGCAAGTTCGAAAAAAGAAGGAAAAGGAATAAGCATTTACCTTTCCACGTCCAAGAATGGATTAATCGGAAAAAAGTATTCTTTCGTTCCTGAACATAATTTTTTTTTTTAACGTGATAAAGTTATGCTGGAATTAATTGTCCATATGGGTAGCAACATATTTTTTATATTAACTTAATTTTCTAAGAAAATTTTCAATACTTTTATCTCATTATGTTGAATATAAAAAGCTATTTTTAAAAAACAGTAAAAAAAAAATTTTTTAGTAAATTACATATGATATTATATAAACAAATTGTATTTGAAAGTTTTATATTTTTCTAAAAGACCTTTAAGGTAATTCTTATATTCATTCTATTATTCATTTATGATATTCTCATAGTCATATATAATGCATGTTGAGCCTTTTCCTGCTCTTCTACTTCCTTTATTATTAGTAGGGTTGCAGATATTTCTTTTGCTAAGGATTGTTACCTTACAGCATATGTTACGTCAATATACAATATATACTATAATAAATTTTTTTATATTAAATCTACTTGTAATAATCAATTACTACAGTAATTGTTACACTTAATTTTGGCTAAAAGTACAATTTGGCCAGAGTTATCCCATATGTTAATAGGGCAAAATATTTGAAAAGTAGTATCTTCTTACTATATTAACATATTAATATATAAGGTAGTACTACCTTAAAACATATCTGCAACCTTAATTATTAGTGACTATTATATTGGTGAATGAGTACAGATTAAATAAAAAAAAATCAGATTTTAACTCTTTTAAAATAGCTTTGCTAATATTAGCATAAATATGCTGATTTTTACATATTTGTATATAGATTTGCCCATTTATGCCAATTTTTTATGAAATCCAATAATTCAGTTAGAAATACTAATTTTTAATAAATGATTTTTGTTACATTAAACTGATATTAAATTCAGATATTATATTATTATATAGTATTGTCCACTTTTCATGTCTGATATACAATTCAGATTTTACTCTTTTAAATATAACTATGCCAGTTATAGTATAGCTTTTCTGATTTAAAGTATAATACTATTACAGTTATCCTCTCAATGATTAAAGCTAACTGAAAAACTTTAACGCTTTAACAGGTTAATTGGAATTTAATTTATTAGGAAAGTCTTAGGTTGATTACAAATAATCACATGAAATAACGTTAGATGTTCAATTAAAAAAAAATAGATTTTTATTAAAAATAATATAAGATTTTAGATATAACGAAAAGTATAAATAATTTTTTGTTTGCAAAATTAATTATCTTGAAATATACTATTAGGAATAATGTTTTTTTGTATAACTTAAAAACTATAATACAATTTTCAACTATTAAAACTATCTGTAAACTTATCTCAAAATTATTCTCTCTCAACTAAGTAAAATCCTAACATTATTTATAATAAAATAAAAAATATATAATAAATAAAATCCAAATGTGTTTACTAATTAATAATAACTGGTGGTTTAGTTAGACTTATAAAAAGACAAAAAATGTTGTGAACAATGTTATAATTGATTTAGCAACAGTATAATTAATCTTAATTTGGAGTTATATATAAATTTACCAAATTTGAAAGGAAAAAGGGAGAGGAAATATATATATATATATATATATATATATATATAATAATAATAATAATAACAACAATTTCTATAATATAATCAATAGACATAATATTAATTATTTTTATTCTATAATCAATAGACATAACACTAATTATTTTTATTCTATATTTATTCTTATCCGTATTTTGATGATTGCATTCTACTGAGTGGATATAGCTTATGATAATTTGTTTGTATGGTATATAAACTACATATCAATAAAGCATATATAAATCATTAAAAAAAATATATATATATATATATATAATAAATAAAATATTTATAACAAATAAAATTAATAACATAAATAAATTAACTATATCAAATAAATTAAGAAAATTAAATAAATAGAAAAAATCAAAGGATCTATAAAATGATCTACAAAATGATTTATAAAATGATTTACATAAAATTAATAGTACGATACAATACTACTAATTTAATAATTTTAATATATATTGATTTCATAACAACAAAAATTCAAATAGAAAAAAAAAAAAAAGAAGTATTAGAAAATAAGTGGATTAGACCTTACTTTATTTATGATATACTTAAAGATAATATTTATAAACTTAAAACCTTAGGTGAAAAATTAGTTTTTTGCTATGATTAGTGAATTCTTTTTCAATGTAGCTTATAAGTTCATTTTGTTTTTTCACGTCTGATAATAATATATATATTATATCTATTATAAATGTACAATTCTTAAAAAATAACCAAGCTTCTATATAGTATGCACCTATTTTTCTAACTTTTTCAATATATTTTTTCACTTCTTATTAATTATTATGTATACTTTAGATTCTTTTATCTTATTGTTTTTATTGATTCAGAAAAAGGTATATTCTAAGTTTGTTTATTTTAAAATTCCTTATGTTTTCTATTTCTGTTTATTTCACATATACCTATTATATCATCTCCTTTATTTATGCAGTATTTCATTAATAAATTAAGTTTGAAATAATCTGAGCCTAGCCTATTAATATTGTGTCCTATAAATATTAAATTGAATGTATTATTATTTTCTGTATTGCTATTGTTATTATATACATTTGCATTTAGTTGCATGTAATTAATATTTGTCTGTTATGTACACATTTTATTTTTATTCTGATTGTTATTTAGAGGAGTTTTAGGAAGTTGTTTAAGTTCTTCCTCTTTTAATTTTACTTTACATGTAATTTCTGTTTCTTTGTTTACTATCATTAGCAAAATGAATTTTTGTTTAGACTAGCTAAACAAATTCTTTATTGTTTTAATTGGCATTATTTTTATTTTTTCCTTACATTAAGATATAATTTTTTAAATAATAAATTTAATTCTTTAATTTTTTTAGATTGATTAACCAATAAAATTGCTGGTAAAATTACTAATAAATTTAAAATTTTTCCTGGAAACCTTTTTACAGTATTTCTTATTTAAATATAAAGTTAATATATTTAATATTCAAATATAGTATAAAAGAAAAATATTATTAATAATTAAATAATATTATTTATTTTTTAAAATATTTTGAATCAAAATTTAATTAAAATTCTAATATTTTATAATGAAATAAAAATATTATAAAATTATTTTTATTTTTAACTTTTAAAATTGTTACAGAATATAATGATAAAGAAAATTGTTTTAATAGATTTTTCTTATATAATATTATATAATAAATTATATATTTTTATGAATGTTTAATAATTTCAAGTGAATTTAGTGAATTTGAAAATTGTAGATTATTGGATGATGAATCTAAAAATAATAAAAAAAAATAAATATTAAAAATTATAAAAAAATTGTAAAAATTTAATAAAATTACCTTTAACATCATTATTTATATCATATAATAATAAATCTAAAAATAATAATATAAAAAAAAATTTAAAAAATTATATAAATTATATAACTTAATAATAAATATATTAAATTACCTTCAGTATTTATATTAGATAACTGTAACAATTTATTATAAATAATTTCAATAGTAGGTCTTTCTTCAGGATTTTCATTCCAACAGGCAGTATAAAGATTATAATAATCAGATGGTGTATCAGGTATTTTTTCCTCTCTTTTTTTATTGCAAATAATATGTATTGGCAATAATATTTCATCAGTATTTTCAAATGGAGGATAACCACTTGATAATTCCCAAAGTAAAACTCCAAGACTATAAATATCAGTTTTCCATGAAAATGGTGGAAGTTGAGAGCCTTTATGTTTAAGTAATTCTGGTGCTACATATGGAATCATTCCAAAAATTTCTGTATGTATTTTAGTTTGAGTTTCCATACTTTTAGCATATCCAAAATCTGTTATTTTTGCTTTTCCTTTATGTATAACTATATTTTTTGCATGCTAAAAAAAACAATTTGATTATTAATTAATATATAATATATTTATTAAAAATATAAAATACTAATAAAAAAAAAACTTACAAGATCTCTATGTATGATTTTTTCTTTATGTAAATAATGCACCCCATTTGTAATATCAAAAGCAAATTGATATTTTTTATTCCAATTAAGAAATGAAAAATTTTTTTTGAGATAAACTCGCAAGTTACCACTATCAGCATATTCCATAACTATACAATAATTATTTTGTGATTGTAATTCTATTTTAATTAAAATAAATAAATGTTACTATGATTTTAAATTTAAAATAATAGTTTATATTTTACATACCTTGAGTAATTCCTATAAAACGAATAATATTTTCACAAGCATGCACTCTATTTTGCATTTGTATTTCATGTTGAAATGCATCTTCTTGAATATCATTTGAATTATTTAATTTTTTAATAACAATAAAATCATTTATTTTTGACCAACGTGCTTTAGATACAGAACCAAAATGACCAGAACCAACTTTTGATAAATCAGTTAATTCATTCCATTCTATATATTTAATTGCTTTTTCTTTAATTGCAGATTTTATCCATAATAAATCTTTTCTTATAGAAATATAATTATTAAAGATATCTTGTAAACCTATTAATAATTTTGCAAATGTAGGTCGATAATCTGGATTTTGTTTAACAGCTTTTTTTACAAGAATTTGATATTCCTTAGGAATATTAGTATCAGGTGTAAATTTTTCTCGATATCCTTTAATTACTTTTTTTATAATATCAGGATTTTCAAATTCTGCATATGGAACTTTACATTCAGCAATCTCCCAAAGAAGAATACCATAACTATAAATTTCACATTTAGTATTATATTCTTTTTCCTTATTCACTTCCAGCATTTCAGGAGAACTATATTGAATATATTTTTTATCTTTGAATAAATTATTAGCTAATTGAAAATTTGTAAGTTTTGCAACATCATGATTTGTTATTACAATATTTTCAGAACTAATATTTTGATGAAGAATCTATAAAAGAAAAAAAAAATTAAAATGAATTTTAATTAAATAAAATTTCTAGAATTTATTACCTTAACAGAATTAAGAAAATTTAACCCTTTGGCAATATCATAAGCAAATTTTAATCTAAATTTTATTTCAATATTTTGTCCATATAAAGAAATATATTTACGTAAATTTCCATTTTCTGCCCATTCAGTTATTAAATAAAATTTAGAACCATCATAAGTAAGACCATAAAATTGAATGATATTTTGACAATATTCAAGTTTTTTAAGGATTGTAACTTGATTTTCAACTTGAACAATAATATGATTTTCTTTAACAGTTTTAAAAGCAACTTCATCACCATTTATTCTATTAATGTATTTTCTTAATTTATCACTTCGAGGTTTATCATCAGACATTATATAATTATAGTATGGAAGTGGAAATTCATTAAATCTTATTCCTTTTTTATTGTCAATCAGACTATGCATATTAATTACCATTTTGATAATTTTATTCATTTCATCATTTGTATCTGTGATATTTTGATTCATATTATATTCAAATAACTCAATTATACTTTCTGTTAAAGCTTCTTGGAATTCATCATTCAAATTTTTACTTTCTAAATTAACCTTAGGATTAATCATTAATAGACTAATACAAGTATCATATTCATTACATAATTCTATAATTTTTGATTTAACAGATTCAATTAATAGATTATTTTGTGTTAATTCTTCGGCAATAAAATTTTTCATGTCTTGAAGAACTTGAACTAATCTTTGTAAATTAACATGATTTTTTGAAGTATATAAATTATCATCAGTATCTTGTAAAATATAAATATTAACTGTATTAGTTGCTTTGGTAATACGATCGATTAAAATTTTTGTTATTTTTTTATGTTGAACTTTATGATATAAATCCATACTTCTATTAAATATGCTGGCTACATCTTTAATAAGAGGAAAAAATAGTTCAAAATAAATAGTATTATTTATTTCAGATATTTGTTTCATATTCATACCGGTTATACTTTCTGCTAAAATTGTTTGAAATTTTATAAGTTCCTTAATATCTTCTTTCAAAATCTTATCTTCATCTTGTTCCTTAAATTTCTTACAATTATCAAAGTTTAATAAATCAATACAAGTATTATTATATTCTTCACGTAAATCTTTAAATTTATATTCGATTATTTTATCTTTCAAAAAATCTTGTACTGTATTATATTGTGTTATTTCTTCAATATATTTTTTCATTTCTTTAAAAACTTGAAATAATCTTTGTAAATGTGAAGTATCTAAATCTTTATTTGCTTGTATAACTGCAAAATATGCTTCGAACATTCGTTTAATCAAATTAAAAGTTATATTCTTATTATGTTGAGCAATTTTATACAATTCCTTAACTTCATTAAAAATTTTAGCTATTCTACTTTTTACTAAATCCGTTAACAAAATTTTATCATCTTCTTGTTCATTAATCTTAAAATCAAAGTTTATGTTAAAATTTAATAAACTAATTTTAACAATATCATTATATTCATTACGTAATTCTTTAAATTTTTTTTCAAATGTTTCAGTTTCTAAAAGTTCCTGCATCGTATCATATTGCGTTATTTCTTCAATATATTTCTTCATATTTTGAGGAACTTGAAGAATTAATCTACGTAAATTATTATGACTATCTTCATAATGTGATGTGAATAATTCATCTTTTTGTTGTATAATTTTAATTAAAGGAATTACTTTGGAAATACGTTTCGTTAAAATTCCTGCTATTTTTTTATTATGTTGAGCTTTTTTACACAATTCCTTAACTTCATCAAGAATTTTAACTATCGTATTTATCATTGAAGCTGTTTGAAATTTTAAAAATTCTTCAATATCTTCTTTCAAAATTTTATCTTCTTCCTGTGCATTAAATTTTTTAAAATCAAAAAAATCCAATAAACTAATACTATTATCATATTCTTTATTTAAACTTTTAAATCTTTTTTTAATTGTTTTGACTTTTAAAGATTCATTATATTGTGTTTCTTTGACAAATTTTATCATGTTTTGAAGAACTTGAACTAATCTTCGTAAACTAGTATAATAATGGTTTGAAATAATTAATTCTTTTCTTTTTTGTAAAATATTAACTGCTGAATTTGCCATGGAAATACGTTCCATAAAATTTTTTATTATATTTTTATAATGTTGAGTCGTATGATATATATCCGTAACTTTGATATGTATCTCAGTTACATCTTTAATAAGTGGTCCGAATTTTACGAAAGGTTCTGTGTTGTTAGTTTTGTCTTTAATTTTTTTTTTTTGATACTTATTCATTATTCATATACTGTAATATCCAGTGTCGATTAGTGTCGATGATTGATAATTTGTCGTTCACAAATCACAATAATCTCTCTAATGAACTTTTTCTCTAACTAAAATTATATTTATTATCTGCAACTCGGCGATAATTTGCATTAATCAATGGCTTATAGACAAGAAAGGTTAAATTTTTCGTCAGACGTGTTACAAAAAAAAATTCCTGATTATAGGCGCCCAATTTTAATAAAAGGCCTCCTAAAAATATATTCAAAAAAAAAAAGAAAAAAAAACTCGTTTCCATACAATTCCGCAGTATTAGAACTGATATTTCTCCAGCAAGCCTGTTACAATATAGAAATATGAGCGTAAACCGTTACTTTCGAAAGACACTCCTATAGAGCTTGCCTCTGGGTTGAAGTGAAGGTTGAAAATAATTTTCAGTGGCTCTGCTCTCTTTGGTTCAATCTCGGGAGGTTTTTTCTTCGGTTTTCCTCCGTTACTGTGGCTCCCAATTATCCAGTGCCAATAACCATATGGTCATAAAATATTTTTATTTTTATTTTTTTTTTTACCGCCCATATGGCTTTCCTTATTCATGCACGTCAGTACTTGGTCAGCAGGCCAGAGCTTGCCGATCATCATCATACCCTACCCTTTTTTTGCATTACCTACACACCTTCTTTACGTATTGTATACCCCAACTATTGGCATAGGATGTACGTCAAAATTTCAATGATGATCATCCCATGGATTCTTCATGTGAATTCAGCCGATCATGACGGTTGACTTATTTTATCTATTATTAATTTTTCATCAGCTTGAAAATTTAATGGTTGGCCGAAATAGGAAAAAAATACGGTGAAAAAATTAATATTTTTTGTTTCTTAGAGTAGGTAATCTAATTTTCTACATATTAGATCTTAGATTTTGCCTCCGCCCTTCTCTCCATAGGAAGGCGTGTCATAAATAAAAAAACATTTTTTTACCCATAAAATCCAATTTTTTTTTTGTTTGTTAATGCGAATCAAAAATAAAAAGTTTATTATCTAATTGAATAAAAAATTGGATTATCGTTTCCATCTTAGTTTTAATTATTTACTTTGTAACAGTATGGTGCTCCATTTCGATTATTTAAACTAGTAAAATTGCAAAAAAATTTGGAGCTTAATGAAATTTTTACTTTCATACGATCAAACGATCAACGGGTTTTACTTGTAAATTATATGGGTCTGAAACATTTTAAAAGAAAGAATTTACAAAAATTTTTTTGTAAAATTTGTCATATTTTTTTTTATCAAAAGTGAATGATTTGTTTTTTCTTGGTAAAAGTTTCATATATCTCTATAAGGAAGTAGGGTGTCTGATTAACATTAAGGAACCTCGGGTGTCTGGTGTGATAACCTAAAAATCTTAATTCCGGCCGGAATTAACTTAATTTCAGCCAAAATTAACATTTATTTTATAACTAATGATCATGATGATTATTATTATTATTCAAAGTAAAGAAAATTAAGCACCTGAATCACTGAATGTTCTTCTTTAAGTGTGATTCTCCTATCTGATAAAATACTTTTGTAACTAAAAAAACTACATTTAACATTTACAACAGATACTGGAAATCAAATATATACTAAAGTAAGCTAATGCATTAAGTTCAGATAATAAATGCAATTTATTATGCCAATATATGTCTAAATCTATTAATTCTTCAGCTACTTTGTTAAGTTTACAATAAATTGCCTATTTTTGTATTAGAAAAATAAAATTTTTCAATAATTCTATAATTTGCCATATTGTAGTTATTAGTTAGTATTTGAAATCAAATATATTTAAATATATTCAAGTATTCATTTAAATTTATAAAGTGTATTTGAATAATATTTGAATAAGTTTAAATTTATTTTTATAGTAAATTAGTAATATTTTACATACATTTAATCTGAATTATAATTTATAATTTTAATTCCATTAAATTTAAGAAATTTAATATCAAATTAGAATATTAACTACAATATATCTAGCTAAATAAATACTTAAATTAACTTATTAACTACTAAGCTTATTTAAACTTTGCTAACAACTAAAATTTTACGTAATGTATTGTACAATACTTGTATAAGTATTGTACAATATATTTAAATTCTATAATGAATTGTACAATAGTTTTGGATTATAAATTGTCAAGTATATATTAATACACAAGCACTTGTAATTTATATAGTCACAATTATATTTAAATAAATCATCTTACGATTTTAAACAATTTTTTTTTACTTATACATTACACAATATATATTACAATGGATTGTAATACATATAACAATATAACTACTATATTGTTATTTTTCATTGACAGCTAATAGTAAGTATTTTAATCTGATTAATCACGCACTTTAAGATAATGAATTACTTCTTCTTAATTTGGCTCATTAAGGAGGTTCCTAACATAATGTTAGTGTTTCATACACTTATCCGCTGGAAGTCAGACTAAAATATTACTTACTAATAACTTTTAACACACTCTTTCTTACTTTTCACACCTATAGTATAAAATTTTTTAATATAATGTTTGATTCATAATTAAATACAAATTTTTATGCACAACATGCAGTAAATACCTGTGATTTTTCAAGTATTAAATTATATTACATCGTGAATTACATCATGAAGTACATAGAAAACTGAATACGAGTTACTTCAACTGAATGTTTTCTGCCAAATCCTCCATGTCCATGTCCATAAATATATCCACATTCATGTTCATGTTCATGTCCACGTCCATTTCTATAGCTTGTACATCAGGAAATTTGTTTAAGCGTAATTTAGTGTAATATTTCGGAGGTGATGTAAAATTTCAAAATATTACACTAAAAACGTAATATTACAAAAGTTTACGCTCTTAAATTTGAATAATTATAGTAATTTAAGAATATCTCGCTATCTACTGATTCAATTAAGACGATCTATAGCTCATTGGAATCAGCTCATCACTTATACACATCT